AAATCCAGTGCAAAATTCAGAGCAAAAGCCAAAGCAAAAGCAACGATACAGTCGCCGCCGTCGCCACTTCCACTTTCCCTCTCTCACCCCGCTTCCTTCGTCGAATCCCGTCGTCCCTGCGACGAAGAAATACTATCCTCGAGACAGGATACTCGGTATAAGAAGAAATCGTTGATGGTAAGCGATACGCAAGGAGGCAAGAGTTTCCTGGGCTCGTTCGTATGCTCGCATAAGACTTCTCTCTCTCTCTCTTTTTCTCTCGTTTTCTTTCTCTCCTCTTTTGCGACCGTTGAATATGCAGGTTTACGCTCTCTCTCTTACTCTTTTTCATTTTCTTCCTCTTTCTCTCTCTTTATCTCTCTCTCTCTCTCTCTTTTCTTAATCTTTTTCTCTTCGTCTCTCGTTGTACGCGCGAGTGTTGAGCAAGTATATCGAGACGACGCAATATCGACTTACCTTACACGACCGAGCGAGCATCAATCTCGGTGGGAAACGAAGCCCTATGCTTTCGTACTCTTCGTTGTCCATATCTCTTTCTCTGTCAGATTCTGAATTCCGTCACAAACCTCTCTCTTTCTCTTTCTATCTCTATAGGAGACAAGATTTCTCTTACACTTTTTCAAGAATTCATCTTCTTCTTCTTCTTCTTATCGAACAAAAAGCAACGTATACGTTGAACGAGTACACGATAGGTTGTTTATTTCTCAAGAATTGTCTACTTTAAATCTCCCTTCTCTTCTTTCATATATTAGATAGATATCATATTGAAGATATCATATCTCTCTTTATCTCTCTCTCTCTTTCTCTCTTTCTGATTTCTCTTCTCAATAAGATCGTCAGAAGATGATCTACGAAAGATCTCAAGTGTCGGTAGCACGAAGAAGATGATGAGCTCGATCGAACCACCGGACGATGGCTGTTGTAACAAGAAAGATGAAAAGAGTAAGGGGAGAAGATGGAGAAGGAAGAGAGAGAAAAAGAGAGAGAGAAAGAGGGTGTTAGGTGGGAGAGAAACCGAGAAACGACGAAATGACGGCGGTCGATGGACGGTTCGTTAAGTAGATGGCTGGTCGGGGGACTAAGCACCAAAACCACCTCACTGTGGTTTCACACCCGCAGAGAAAGAGAGAGCAAGAGATAAAAAGAGAGAGAGAGTCCAAGAGAGCAAAAGAGCAAGAGAGAGAAACAGTAGGAAAGAGAGAACAAGAGAGAGAAAAGTAGTAAACAACTCGGAGTTCCTTTGGTCAGGACTCGTGCGTTCCTTCGGTCAGGATCAACGACGAATGGCTTTACACCTTCTTTCTACGCTAAAGAATCCGTTGAGAATCGATCGTCTTGCGCCGATGACCATTGCCGTGACCAACACTTCCACCTGGTTAGCGGATCTACGGACATTTCTTTCTTTCTTTCTTCTTTCCTTTCTACTTCTTTCCTTACTTACTTACTTACTCACTTACTTACTTATTTCGATTTGCTTCAATCGAAAAGATTCGAGAAATCATTTCAAACATCGATTCTTCGACATCGAGTATTTCCTTTCAATTATCTTCTCGCTAACTTTTGTCGTTTGTTGGACAAGGTGAAAATATTGTGGTTCGTCATTTGAGATAATACAAAAAAATTGATGTGAAATTGTTTAATGAAATATCAGATTACGTTGAAGGGGAATTGATTTTGTTAATTTTTAGATTTATTTTACTCGTCGATATTTTTTGTTTCGAAATATTATAATTGTTCTTTTTTATTATACGTAATTGATTAATTTTTTAATTTTTTTTATTTCCATCTTTCTTTATGTTATTAGTCTCGTCAAGTATGAAATATGTAGTGCATCTTATTGTCAATTCTGTATGTTTATTTTTGTTTACATTTATACTACGATCATATTAAATCCTAGATAAAGATAATCTTAAATTATGTTAAATCCTAGTATTAGTTTCAGTATCGTTGTTAGGCAGCAAACACAACAGTTGATACACAAAAGATATCACCGATTAGATAAAAAAATTCGTACACCTTTTCTTTTTTATCATTTACATATAATATTTCTCCTTTAAATTAAAAATATATTTCTATAATAATAATTGTGCCATTGTCCAACGACAAAAGAAAGTGTTTGTAGTTTTATTAGTAGATTTGAAAAATCGAAGACTTCTAACTGACCATCGACAGTTCGACAACAGATGGTCTCGTCCCAAACTGGCGCACGCTTGTGTGTAGCTTTGTTTTGTTACCGTTGTTCCGGTAATTGCGGCAAATACACGGCCATTTTCGGTAATCACCCCTACGCCCCCTACTCTGCCCTATCTACGGCGGTCCCCTTTGAGAATTCCGAAACGACCTCGACCTTCCGCCGGTAGGCGTAACGACAGTTTCATCCTCGGTGGACCCATGCTGGCCACGATCTCGACTTTTAACTTAACCGTCCTATGTCAAAACTAACTTCTAACATTTCTTTTTAATCATTTTCTTTCTTCCCTTTCATTTCTATCTCATCGATTATTTTTTTCTTTTTTTTAAATCTTCCTGCTCGCTTTAAAAACAAATTAGAGAGTTAAAACGTAATTCTTTGAATCGATAAATAAATAATTTGTTAATCAGTTATAAAATTATTTAAAACATGATAATATATTAATTTAGATTAATTTTAATCTAATAAACGGAAAATATTTTCCATTAAAAATCAATTTTCATTCATTTTTATATTAATTTTCTCGGATAAATCTTTAATTATCGATACTTTGAATAAGAAAAAGAAAACTTGTGTCTATTATTCTTTTTTTTACGATGTAACGTCAATAAAATCAAAGAAGGATTTTACCGATGATGAATGATCGGCTAATCTGCTCGCGTGCGTCTCATCACTTAATATTCGTATTCGTGAGCATGCCATTAGCCGACCATAATTATCACCTCGCTCTCGTACGAGTTACCATCCGATGTAGACAAGTTTAACGTTTGAAAAGTATTTACTGTCTTGTCTTAGACTGGCATAAAGTGTCAACGATTTATGTCTTCAAAAAAATATAATAATTTAAGATTAATATTTAAAAAACAAACTACAAACTGCAATAAACTCTTCTTTTTTACATTTTAAACGAATTGAAAAATTTTAAACTATATAAAATATTAATCAACGTTTATATAATCAATAAACGTTAATTAAATAAAATACATTATTAAAATAGAAATCACGTAAATATGAAGATACCACAAAATTGTGCAAAAAATTTCAATAAAACAACGATAGTTATCAATAATCCTAACGAAAATAATAGTAAAATAATTTATTATGGAATGGAAATATTATAATGGAATTCTTTCTTTATATCTTGTAAATATGTAAAAAGCATTCAAAAAAAAAAAAATCGATAACAATTCCAAAAAATAAAATTCACCTAGATATGGAAGGTTTTTTCAAAATTTGAATGAGAAATATTTGGACGAAAGTTTTGATATTTAGGATGAAGTTTGAACAAAAAAAAAAAAACAAAATGTGAAGAAAAATTCGACTAACATAAGTAGAAAGGAGAATTCTAAGAAATCATTGGATAAGACGGACGGGACTCGCCCTTGAAAGTTAAGTTTTATCATCGACTTCAGTAACCCGACGAGAATCGTCAATGCTCTCGGACTTTCCGTCGACGTCTCAACCAGTCAACAACGATTTCCTTCGTCACGTATATGTCTTCTTTCTTATTCTCCATCCTTCTTTTTTCTCTTTTTCTTATACATACAGACACATACACAAGTTAAACTCACGGAGATTGCAACAATAAACGTGTTTTACGTTTCTGAGATTATGAATGATAAAAAGTATTATCATGAGCTCTTTTTTCTCACAACGATGACGTCGACTACGATGACGATGATGATAATGATGATGATCGAGTCTAACAAGAAGTATGAATAATTTCATTTCAATTAAATATGCCCTCATTTCAATACATCGAATAAATTAAAATTCTTCAAAACACAGTTTTATAATCGAAATAAAAAAAATTCATATTTTTATGGTGTCCAATTTTATTAGAATTTTCACATTATATCAGTACATTTGTAATACATGTGTGTATCTATTAACATAATGATTCGTCAGTTCAGATTTAAAGAGAGAAATAACGACGAATTTCACTTTGCTGACTCATACAATTCCATGTTTCGATGTTGATTTCTGTGAACTATACCCACGTTTTCTCTCTCTCTCTCTCATTATCATTCTATCTCTTTTATTTTTTGTCCTTTCTCCGATGCTTGGAAATTCATTCATCGTACGTCGTGTTGGCTAGTCATGAAGTAGCAGTTGACTTCGTAAAACTTTAAATATACCGAGAAATAACGTGATAAATAATAATAAATTCATTAATGATTATTATTTTCTTTTAAATCCACCGGAAGAATCATTTCGTTTGTATCAAACGATACTATAATAATAAGAGTAGAGTATATAATCAATTTTTCGTTTAATTGATCTTTTTACGCTACATAAATAATTGCACGTAACGTCGGTCGACAGCTTATCGGCAGTTAATGTAAACGTTTGTCGGTAAAAAAAAACCACTGTAATCTGTTAAAAATAGACAATATAAATTAATGAGAACTTTGTTTTCTCGTTACGACTAACGTAATCATGAACGTTTAAAACGAATTTATGAACATCGATTTCCAACTAACGATTTCGAACTTCCGTCGCGTTTCGACCAATGACTCATGCCAATTAATCCGTTGGTCTTACTCACACGAAATCCCGTTACCGACTCGGATTCTGAACAACAGCGGATGCTGAATTTTAATGAACTATTTGCTAATATCGATATTTGTACAGACAATATTTTTGGTTTTTTGTTTGTCTAACAAATTCGTAGCTTTCGAATTCTCTCAAATTTCTATCAGGATACAATTAAAATTGTCAGATAAAAAAACAAAGTCGAACTAATTTAATAATAAACATTGATTCTAAACATATATCATTCAAATTGGATATTTTATTTTGATTGCAGATACAAGTACGAGCACAACTGAATGGTCTTATCCATCGACAGCTCCTTCTTATCCAGCTCCACCAGTAAGTAGCGGTGGATCGTATTCCCCAATTCCAGGTGGTGCATTTTCGTATCCAGGTGAATCCTTGTCTCATCATCCAACAACGGAACCTGTACCACTACCAACTGGTAAGTCGATTGATGTTCAAGATTGTAAAATTTTAAAGCAAGAAAAATCTTTCCTTATTCTCATTCATTTGCGTAATTATTTCGATTCAAGGATTATTAAAACTAACATGATTCACGAGACGTTCCAGGAAAATACGTTCATTCCTTATTTTTTTTTTTTTTATGACACAATCGAATAGTATAAGTCTGACTTGTAATACAGTAACAACATAAACAAACGATAATAATTTCCCTTTTTCATCCGACAATTAAAAGAGGTTTCAAATCATTGCACTTGAATCACCTGTTCTTTTAGTTTTACCATCGGAGAGTCAACAGGACACCTACACTCCAAACTGCGTTTCCATGTATTCCGGTCACGGAACGTCATCGACAACTTTACCTCTGATACCTGGAAAGCCCAGTGACCCTGATATCTTCGCAGGTGGTGGAACAGGAAGCGCAAGTCCAGGATATCATTACGGTTCCTGGACACCTGGACCAGCTACACCGGTACCGGTTGCCTCGCATAACTACAATCCTAATTATCAAGGCTATTACAATAACCCAAGTCAAAATTACATAAGTCCGGCTCCAATGGTTCTTTATCCGCAGCTTTACAGTACGGTTAATCAGAATCAAATTCATTTGCATCTTCACGGTGATCTTAGCGATGAACAAGTCACCATTGCTGGTGGTAATTTGACCATCAGTAGTAATCGTCTTGAAATTGGAGTTCTTGGTGAAGAAAGCGAACAAAGGAACGACGTTTGGAGACCTTATTAATTAAAAAATCCTAGTTTAACAATAAAAAAACAAAAAGGATTAACGAGATATTTCATTGTAAGACCAATTTGTTTTGTACTATGTTCAAAATATCATAGTGAAAAATGTTCGGTGAAAATGTAAGAATATGAACAATGATTGATGAAAGAAAGTGTATTTAGGATATTTTCTATTACCGGCAATTCTTTCCACAATAATCAACGTATTGCGTTTGGGGGCAGGGGCGGGGACGGTCGTAAATTTGTTCTAAGGAAAGGCTGTTAATTAATACGATTGCTAAATACGTACGAAAATTTTCGTTGTTTCTTGTATAGTGCGAGACATGTCGCGAAAGAAAAAAAAAACACGAAATAAAAAAATACCTATAGACTATCGTAAGTCAATCTTCAATCTGATGTTGATTGAAAGAAGACTGAATATTCACGATATCAGATTTCAAGTATTATCAAAACTAAACATGCAAACTCTTATTCGATATTATTCGAAAAAGAGACTGAGAAGGAATGAGTTCTCGTTAGAAGAATAAAAATACGAAAAAATAAAAAGGATAATAAATAAATAAAAAAGAAAAAAAAAAGAAAAATGGTAAGGCTTCTGATAGTAATACGTATGAAGGTTGTCAGCGATGTCGCCGTTTCGTTCTACAATCGTAAAAAAAAAATATAAAAACGAAAGAACAATCAGTGTTATGATGTACTTATCGAAAGAAAAGGAGATGATGATTAGTCAGATAATGTAATACACACGTTGTAAATATACAAATATTTTCCATGAAGTAATAAACACGTACCTGGACAGTTTCTCCCTTACGTTTTCCCCTATTACTGGGTAAGTTCGATCATTTTTTGAACTCAAAAAACATATACGAATAAGATGAAGAAGAAGAGACAAATGTTTAGGATATTATTCAATATTACAAAACATAGTAAATAATAGAACAGAGAAAAGATAAAAGGAGTAAGGGGATGGGGGAAGAAAGAAAAATAAAAAATAAACGGTAGGATCGTTAAAAACGGAGCTGAAGGCAAGCAATCTCGAGTTAATCTTGAAGAAGAAAGCTACTACTTCTTCTTCTTCTTCTTCTTCTTCTTCTTCTTCTTCTGCTTCTCTTCACTTCTTTTCTACTGGCTGCCGCCATTTCTCCCCTCTTAACCACCCCCTTCCACGTAACTGACTGAGTTCACACTTTGGAGTGATTTCTTCGTCTCTCCCACTTCTCTTCCGTGATGTTTAAAGCCCCGTAGCGTGTCCTGCGAATAGGACGCGAGGAATAAAACCATGGAATAAGCCGAGGAGAGAGGCGGCCGTCGCTCATAAGCTTCTCTCTTTACGAGGATGACTCGACTCGTCTTCGACCGCAGACGACGAGAGTCGTCTCCCCGAGTTCTCTTCTCTGTCCGTTAAGAAACCGAACTGAAATACGTTTCGTCTACGCAGGAAATGGTCGACATCTTCGCACTCTACCGACCATAAATAGTGGGACAAATTTTTTTTTCACCTTCTTAATATCTTTTTTTTTCTTACTAATAATTCTAATACCTAGGATAGATTTATTTTTTACTTTTTCCTCTTTCTTTTTCTCTTTTTTTTTTTTTTGTAATTGTAACTCTTCAACTCTTCGTCTAGTATTTCATTTTATTTCAAATAGAAAGAGTTCAAACGTTTTTCCACTTGTAGGATATATTGACTTTTAAAAGGATTCGAATTTATTCATTGTATTTATTTACGTGTAATTTTATAGATTTTTAGGAATATAAATATGATACTTATTATTATGATAAAGCTTATATTATGAATATTGTATATTTAGTTATGTTTCACGATTAATTATATATTTTATTGGATATGAAACATTTGAAAACACGATCCTGGTAATTTGTTGCAGTAAAAGAGAAAGCCTGCTAGAATCGGGACAAAAATTAACAATATTTCTAATTTATTCTCTATCGTTTCAATATGACGTGACGTGACGTAACATCATAAATATTCGTATTAATTTATAAAACCATTTGATAGAGCATCGTTACTTTAAAATGATTGAATTATTTAAAAATATTGACAGAAATAAAATTCCATCTTTGGAGAGTATCGATAATCGATAATCAATAAAAATCATTATAAAAAAAAAATAAAAAAACACTAAAATGGGATCATTTGGACGTCAATTAATTTTTCTCACCATTTTATTTTTTATTTCTTCTTCTTGTTGTGTACATGTCACGGTTGTTACTTGCTTCTTGCAATTCAAACGTACTCTTTTACAATTTTTGATTATGATTTAATTTTATTTTAGAATACTATTGCACAACCACGGACAAAGTCGGATGCGTGTGTGTATGTGTTTGTTCATGTGTATGTGTGTTCGCGTTTTTGTGTATTTTCTTACATAAATGATTAGTCAATTTTCTTCGCTCGTACCGTTAATTGTTTTTTCTTTTTTTATCTTTTTTTTTTGTTTCTCCATGCATATTTATATATACACACACATACATACACAAATATATTTATATTAATAATTTATATATAAATATACATATGTATGTATAATAGATTGTTTAGATACATTGAAAAAACGGGAGGATAATACATAGGCACGTTTTATTATCAATTATCATCATATTATCGAAACTTTAGCTCCATTCTTTCGTTTAAAACGATCTAACGATCAACAACATTTATAACATGTACCGTACATTTTCACATTTATAGTGAATAGTTTCTTCTGCTTTTTTTTTTATTTCTATTCTTTTTATTTATCTTTCTTCTTTTAAATACGAATAGCAAATCGTCGTTTGGTAATCGTCCGTATTTCTTCTTCCCAAAACCCCACTTCCCAAACTCTTTAATTTACAAGTAAAACGCGTGTGATATTGATAAAAGTATATAGTATATGTAGAAAAATAATAAATAATTCTTTATTTCCAAACGTACGAGTTTTATTTTAAACGTAATAATTCCTTTAAAAAAACGGACCAAACATTACCAAACGTCGATACTTTTTTTCTTTTTTTTTTTTTTTAGTCTCATCTCATCTCATTTACCGCCCATTTTTAGCGTTTTATAACTATTTACAATAAAACATTATAACGTTAGATTTAAATTAATTAATTAATTAAATTATGAATAGTTACGACACAATTAGGAGCATCTGCGAAATATATTTTTCTAGGAAGAAATCATATATTACGAGATTGTTAACATTAAAAGGCTCTCTGTTAAATACTTTTTTTTTTTTAATTTATTTTCTTATATATTCTCTTTTTTTTATTATTTTATTATCGTCTCCTCGCACTATCAATAACTCTTCGAATAATTTTTCTTTCTAGGATTTCTAATCTGGACTTGCTCCAAACAGGCCGTTCCTACTCTATCTAAAATATTCTCCTTTATCTCTTCTTCTTTTTTTTTGTTTCTTTTTCAACAAAAAACATTTGTGAAGGTACACGAACGTTTTTAAAGAAGATATTCTCTCTAATTTTTCTAAAAAAGAAAAAAGATAAAAAACAAATAAATAATTAAATAAATTAAGAAGAGGAAAAGACTAGATAATGAGAAGCAAGAAAAATTCATTCTAAATAATTAGCATACCTTGTTTTCTTCTTAAAAAAAAAAAAAAGGAAACAACAAGAAAAACTCTATTTAAATAAAACAATATCAATAATATTATATTTTATATTAAGATATGAAAAAAGAAAAAAATATTCGCGTGGAATAAACGTAAGGCAGATTTTACAGAAGAAAAAAAATAAATCATAAATGGGAATATATATATATATATAATATTTTTGTAATCATTTTATAAAGACACGTATGTTTTCTGTCAAAAAGATTTGCCTCACGAGTGAAATTCGTCGCACATATGTTTATCTTATGCGAGTTTAATGCAAAAAGTTCAACATACGCACGTAAGTATAGTTACAACAACAGCATAGATGGCTGCGACTGGACCGCAAACTACAGTTAAGCGCAAGGAGCATAAAAGGAGAATCGAGAAGATGTGCGTGCGAAATAAATCGTAAATAAAATTTTCTTTCTCATTCTCTCTTTCCCTCTCTCTCTCTCTCTTTTTTTCTCTTTCTCTTTCTCTCTTTTTCTTATGTTAGTTTACGTTGACTGGTGTATAAACGTATGACGAAATAGAGATAGGGCTTACTTAGATTCATGCCTGGAAACAGGACACCGTCTTTCTATGACCGAGAAAAGCAACGAGAAACTACCATCGCTCGTTTATTATTCCTCGTTGCCGATCAGAAATCAACGGACATCACTATTATTATCGTCCCGGATAAAGCAATTCGATAATTGTTTCTAAGTATTACGAGTTATTCGTTTATATCTCTAACTAATACACATAATAATAAATTAATTTCTTTACCCTTGATTTTACTCTCTTTTCTTATACTTCGATTATTTAAAAAAAAAAAACAACATAAGATTTTCTAAGAAAACAAATAAGAAGAGAAAGAAGAAGAAGACACGAATGAACTGTTTACTTTCTACATAATATTCAAAGCAAAATGTCAATGCAATAAGAAATTTATAAAGAGAAACGAATCGTCTAATAATCCTTTCGTTCTCGCACACATTTGTATTTCTAATATTAAATGTATTATCTCTACCTCTCTTCCTCTTCTCTCTTTCTCTTGTTTTCTATTTATCTTTCTCTCTCTCTCTCTCTCTCTTTCTCTTTCTCTTTCTCTCTCTCCCTTTCTCTCCCTCTCTTTTGTTCTCCCTCTTCCTTGATTTTATTTGGGGGAGAAAAAGACCAAAAAATGAAAAATGAATTAGCTCATCCAGAGAATGTTTCTTGGTTGAAAATTCTTAATGGACCATAGAAAAAAACATTTGCTCCCAGATGAGCTGTAGCTGTTCCTAGTTGTTGGTCAATCCGTAAAAGACAGCAATTCGGTGAAACAGAGATGATAGTCGTTGTTTCAAGATCTGATCGATAGCATGTCTGGTAAGAATCCTGACGCCACGCACCAAAACCGGAAGTAACGGCGCCAACCGTTCATCCTGGGAACATTTTGTTATCGTATCTTTTCCTAATTTATCAATACTAGAAAAAATATTTGTCGGAGTCTGTTGGCTAGAAATAGAAAAGATAAAAGGAAAAAAAAGAAAAAAAAAAAGAAGAAAGAAAAACAAAATGTATTTCACTTACCGGCAAAGCTAAAATCCATTCGAGAACTGAACTCAAAGTCTCGGCCCATGCTTTCCTATGAGCCTCGCTGTCCTTACTAACGTTCCTTTTTTTTCTATATTCAATCTCGTGACTGAAAAATTGTTTATCATTATTAATAAAAGTATCGGTATCGTCTTCCTCGTCCCTTAAAAATGGATTAGTTCTAAATCCGCGTTTACTACGTTCGTAATCGCGCAAAAGATCGTCAATGTTGTTAACGTTTTTATAAGAACGATCAATCGATAAGTCATCATCGTCTTCATCGTCATCGTCATCATCATCGTCTTCATCGCCAACGACGTTATTGTCATCATCGTCATCTTCGTCATCTTTCGAATAGCGCGAAATTGATTTCTCGAGAATGATCTTGGGAGATTCAAGAACTGAAGTATCTCGTGTTCTTCGTAATTCCATTACCGATTTAGAACGTAAATTTGTTGGATCGAAACTAACCGAATCGTTGAAATTTTCTAAATCGGCGGTCATGATGAATTTTAAGGAAGTTCTTTTCGATAGTAAACATGCCTCGCTTTTACGTCGTTGAATGGTTATTGGTTGTTTCTCGTAATCTAGTGCATCGTTCAAGGTTGCATTACTGCTAGGTAATATAACTTCTGGTATCGAGATACCCGAAGTGTCAGGTGATGAAGTAGTTCTCCAAAGAGGATACAATTGATTCTGGCTGTTCATCATTTCTGGAGGTGCCGGTGTCATAGCTACGAGTTTGGCATCGACGTAACCTTCGCTTGAAGTACCTCCTGATCGATCGAAATAAACTATTCTCTCAGTGACAGAACCTAATCTAGAAGCTGGCCTAGAATCATCCGTTTCAGGCTCCGAATGAGGACCGGAATCTGTCGAATATTCAGCTGCTAAATCGGATAATCTGAAAGGTCTAAGATCATTTTCACATTCCTGTCCAAGTTCCTCCAAACCACTCTCATCGTCCAAACTAGGATTATAAATTTCAGGATCCTCGAGATCCTCCGGATCTTCGTTTTCATCAGCATCGTCGACTTGATCCTCATCCCTGTCTACTAAAGGATTATGCATACGCGATTCGGTAGGTGCCGGTGTGCTCGTAATGATTCTGTCATGAATCGGTTCCTTCCTCGTGATTTCAGGATAATCGTCAGGTTGAGCAACCAATAGAAAAATTTTTCTTTCGGCGAAACTATCAGCTTTCGTGTATTTTCCATCGTAATTGCGAACCACTTCGACGTACATGTCGCAAAGTTCTTCGAAAATCGATTGTATCTGTCTAAGATATTTCTTTATCTTCTGATACTTCGAGTTAGATTCGTTCTCATTTTTATTATTACCATTGGATAGAAAATTTTTAACGTAATCTAAATCCACCGAAGTTTCCTCAGCCTCGCGAAGAAATAATTCGAACAAAGCGATTAATTTGATGCTCCAAGCGGCTCCAGCTTGTCGATAAAGATTTGCCGGTTGTTCGAGATCAGCTACTTTCTGTACTAAGAACTTTAAACCAGGTCGACAATCGAATTTCAAAGCTGCGGCGTATGAGAGGTCCAATGCCGATAGAAAAATTTCGATGTGTCGTGAATTCATGTAAGAATATTGGACAGTTTTCGTTGATTTGTAGGACACCGAAGCAGTTCCGTGTGAGGTCACGTGAGATAAGCTGAGAAACGTTCGAATAAACCAAAAACAAACAAACGAAAAAAAGACAGAAATTTAATCGATACACGAAAGAAAAGGAACATTCAGTTCATTTGGGAAAATCACATTAACGTACCTCGAGATCGAGGGATCACCCTGAAGAAGAACGCAGGCGACACAATTGAGTAGCATTTTATGGACCAAAAGACCAACCACCAATGCTCGTAGTTGAATCCTGACGATGAACAGATCTGGATTAAGTGTGGCACCCACAGCTGGTGGATACACGAGGAAGACGTAAGATCTCTCATCAGATGACCTTGAATAATCTTCAGCACGCTGTTCCTCCAGGAGGAACACCTGAAGACACAAACGTGGAGTTTTCAATTGAAAACCAAGAGACTGAGCCGAAACGTTCGTTTGTACGCGTTAAGCACAATTTTTACGACGATTTTCTAAAAATATATTTTTATTTTCTAAAGAATATTTTTTAATGAATCAATTTAAAAAGACGGGAAGATCAACATCGTGCTTAACGAGAACAATCGTTTCTCTCTCTCTCTCTCTCTCTCTCTCTTTGTCTCTTTCTCTCTTTCTCTTTCTCTTTCTCTCTCTCTCTCTCACTCTCTTTTTTAAAACGAACACAACTAATGATGATATCAAAGATTCCGCAAACGTCCTAGAAACGCTCAGCCCAACGAATATGTGTGCATTCTACGAAAGCAGCAGCTTCTAAAAAAGGGGTGTGTGTATATATTTGTGAGTATATATATGTATAAATATAACAATATATATCTACATATATAGAGAAATATAAATATGACATGTGAAAATCTAGCCATGGACTCAAGCCATGGATTTTAATGGTGATTCGTAAGATCGTGAGAAAAAATTAATGCCAAATGAGTTTAAAAAAAAAATAGCGACGGGGTCCTTTGAATTCAATATTTAATTCCTCTCGAGGACTAAACGTCGCAGCAACAACGTCAATCCTTTGCGAATGAATACATTTTTTTTTTTTTTTTTTTTTAAACAAACGTCATCGCACGATCTTTATTTTAGTTTTGATTATTTTCATGATTATTCCTATTATATGTATATCGTGAGATCTCGATGGATAAAGGACCTCGTCGAAGAGATTTGTAGCCTTGACAATGTGCCTTCTACCAGCAAGTGCAAACGTCTAAAACGTAATGATTCAGAATTTCCGCTCGTCGAGAAGCGTCGATAGGCTCGTTCCAAATCCTCCACTTGATTTATTTTTTATTTATTTATTTTTTTTTTAATATTTCAATTGCTTTTTTTTTAATTTTTATAAGTCACATTAATGGCACACAGTCAGAAATTCGTTTTTTTTTCTGTTTTTCGATTAATTTTTTGGTTTTCTCTTTTTATCTCCCACTCTTTCTTTCTCTCTCTCTCTCTCTCTCTCTCTCTCCCTCTCTATCCATCTTTCTCTCTCATTCTCATGCTCTCTTTCTCTTTCTCTCTCCCTCTCTATCTCGCTTTCTCTCTCATTCTCATGCTCTATCTCTCACTCTCTGTCTCTCTCTCACACATTCTCTCTTGATCATCTCTCTTTCGATCCACGTGGGAGAAGGGTGCAATTGAAGAATCAACGAATCTGATAAAGAAAGCTATATATATTTGAACACATTTTATCTTTTTTTTTTCAGCAGTACAAAAACACTGAGCGCACAAAAAATAAATGCAACCCTTAAATGTTTACTCTTCTTTTTTTTTTTTTAACCTTTTCTATCATTATCAGCTAATTCGCATATAAAATATACGAATATAAATATTAATATAAATATGAATATAAATATAAATATATATGTTTTGTATATATGTTTGTGTGTGTATATGTGTTTATGTGTATTTATAATAAATTAAATCTTTATAAAAAGGAACAGAACGTCTCTCAAAGACATCGCGATAAAAATTTTCACGATATAACCCTTTCGTTATGGCATGCTTTTAATGTGAATATCATTCCATATAAAATCGCTTGTACATAAATCCCATGATACGACCCAAATATGAATTGCTAATAACGAAAGGGTTTAAAAACAGAGTTATCTTTTGATTTATTTCTTTTTTTTCTCCTTGATTTCGAAGTACGATTTTGGTCTCGATTTAATCGTACGAAAACATGTATTTATATGTATATATATTTATATGTATATGTAATAATATATATTCATAGGCACGTTACGCATAGGATTTTGTTAGGCATTTAAAAAAGACGTCTTCTCGCATACATTCAAGGGTTAACATCGTACAAAACATATACAATATACGAGACGATCGTCCTAATAATCGTTTAAAGCTAATCATTGAATTACACACTGACACATCGATAACGATGACGATGAAGATGACAATGATGATGATAATCGTAATGACTATGATGCAAGGTCCGCATGCATCAAAGCTAAGGTAACAATGATATTACGATAGTATTTAAAAAATTTCATTGAGAGAGTATTGTCATTTTTGTTTAGTTTGTTCATATATATTTATATATATATATGAAAAATTCGATCGAAAATATATGTGTGTAAAAATCTCTTTCTTAAGATAACGAGAGGTAGGAAGAGAGGTAGTGTACGGGAGATATAAAAGGAGGAAGAATGAAGAAGAATAATGATGACGATGATGATAAAGATGATCGTGGTAGTGGTAGTGATAGTGTGGTGAAGATGGTGACGGTAGTGGTGGTGTGGAATATTCTTGTAAAAAAGATGAGGATTGAAACCCTGCCTCTCGACGGCGACGTGCTGAAAGCTGACCTTGACGACGCCGTGGAATCTCTAAGACGAGCGGCTTCGCGAATTACAAGGATGCCATTTTGCTCGATGTAGATTTGTTTACTCGTTCGTGTATCGTTATGGTTGTATATTTTATATTTTTTTTTATTTTTGTAATTTTTTTTTTAATTCGAATTATTTTTCTCGATTGCTTTTCGTTAATTATTGGTTTGATTAAAATCCATGACGTGAGTTTACCGTAAACGGCTAGAGCCAATGGGGAGCCGTGTTCGACGTAGTGTTAGTGTAATCGGGGGGTGTCGTGTGCTGCCTACAACCGACGGGGTAGGAAGTAGTGTGCTGGTCGATCAGTGTCGTCTCAATGGTCATCGAATCCTGGAAAGGTGTCGTCTGCAGTGACGACGCGTTCTGCCTCTTGATGGCAGTCAATACCTCACGCAGCTGGCTCACCTGGGAGCAAGTCAGGTCAGGAGGGCACCAGGTCTCTTTTCTTTCATTTTATTTAATTTTTTTATTTTTATTTAATTTTTATTTTTTTATTTTCTTAATCTCTTTTTTGTCTCTTTCTTTCATACTCTATCTCTCTCACCCTTTCCACTCTTTCTTTCTTTCTTTCTCTCTCTCTCTTTCTCTCTCTCACACACACAATGATTCTCTTCAATTATTTTATACGTTTCTTCTTGAATACGCGTGTTTTAAGATTGAAAAAAAGTTAAATAAGAAGAGACATCAAAAAAAGAGATAAAAAAAAAGAAAAAATAAGATATAAAGTATAATAAAGTACAGCAAGAAGTGAGAATGAACAGAGAGATAGAGGTTATAATAATACGCGTTAGAAGAATAAATGTTTAGAAGGATAGGTATATACAGAAGAAACGTTCAAAGTGGTCAACATCTTATGATAGAAATAAAAAAAAACACACCGAATATATATATATATATATATATATATATAATAAAGTACAGCAAGAAGTGAGAATGAACAGAGAGATAGAGGTTATAATAATACGCGNATATATATGTATATAAATATACCGGGTGTCCAGTAACTGTACTAAACGAGCAGAGGGTGATTCTACGTGCCAAACTAATACGAAAAGTTTAGAATCAAATTTGTTTTTAAGAAAAATAAATTTGAAAATTTGTTAAATACGCGTACACTCAATTCAATTTCAGTTCGACGGATTTCTCTATCCTATTCTAGGATATTTCGAAGAATATTTGTTTCTTAATATGTTTGTTGCACATTATCAATCTGACGATATATATTTTGCATTTGTTCTATACTTATGCTTATCGAACATGATTTTAATTTTCAAGATTCAGTTCGGTCAATTTTTGAACTTAAATTTTTCTCAAAAGGAAAACTTCGTACGAACAAATTTGATTCGACATTTTCGATGTTAGTTTATCATATAAAAGCATCCCCTCCTTGTTAGCTTGATATCACAAATTACAAGACACCCTATACAGAATAATTCTCGCTGAAGCGAACACATCGATAAGCACACATCGAACGTTCACCGGACAACATAATTGGGAGAGATCATCGGTCTCCGATGAAACCCCGATGGAAATCATCGCACGATCACTTACCTGTGCAGCTAGTTGCCGTAATCTTTCGGTTTCCTCGGGCGTTGCATCCCGACGGGCAGCGACCTTCACCTGTGCGATGTCACCGTAGAAAGATTCTGATCTTGGTGAGAAAGCCATGGTCAACAGGCGTAACTCTTGAAGTGAATTTGAACAGGCACGATAGCAAGCTACACCGCAGACCTCCCATTGTTCCGATGTGAGTATCGGACCACTGCTCACCAAAACGTGTCTAAGAACAATCGAAAAAATTTGTATTGTTAATTTTCAAAAGATCATGATATCTCTTATTAACATTTTCGGTTAATATTTAATTATTTCTATTAATCATTTTCGGTATTTGTGATTAAGTAGCATTAGCAAATATTTATCCTAATTAATAAAATCTTAATATAAAAAAATAATGTACAAACATAACTTAATCAAAATAATATAATGTCTTTCCTTAAATTATTAAAATTCACAAGAATTTATTTAGAATTGGCTATAACAACGGTATTTGGAATATTCTTAAAGTAAGAAAAATTAATTGGGCCATACTTTTCTCATTTTAATACAAATGTTAAGGATAGTTTAATCTATATATCTAATATAAGTATAGTAAAAATAGGTCTAGACTTTTGTGTCGATTAAAATGTAAGCCATCTACCGCAATCTATCGAGTTGTCGAAAAAGGAGACAAGGTAGGAGGAGTTTGCTCTAGGATTTCAGAGACCGAGATCCCGTTCGTCATTCACTATCGGTCATAATTTATCTCTCTCTCTCTCTCTTCCCCTTTCTTACCCCCCCCCNCCCTTCTCTCTCTCACACTCTCTCTATCTTTCTGCTTCTCCCAACGAACCTGTCCGTTTTTAAACATTCGCGCTGTACATCGATACCTAGCGATCGAGCCCTAACATGGATTGGATTACCACGTGGATGTGTGACGTGCATTAAGACGGAGAAAATGCACCGTTCCTCCCTGTTCTATTTGTCTTTCCCTCTCCCACATATATGCAATATATATATATATATACGCGCGTGTGTGTGTATAAAAGAAGGTAAAGATATGGAGAAGCTAAGGATTGAAACGATCATGGCTCAGAGATCGACTGAGCGAGAAAAGGATAGATAGAGAATCGAAAGAAAGAAAGAAGGAGTGTGTGCCGWTGGCACGACGCCCTGGGGGTGTCGAATGTCAGTGGCTACCTTATCCCACTGGACAGCCTGTCAAGCTTCGTTATCATCTTACACGCACGCTCCGTCCGTAACGACGATGATATATATATATATGTACAACCGAGGCAACACAAACGTACATTCCGCCGAACCTCTCAGATCCTCACAGGATCGTGTGAAACGTGTAAAAGATCGTTACCAATCTAAGAAATACTGATCAAAGATATCTCAATATTCTACTCCTTATCTTAAATGTTCTTTGATAAATAATGTAAGATCTAAGATAGATCGATAGATCAATATCAATCGAGATCGTTTGAACGTTAATAAGAATTAACCTATAGGATAGTTAACAGGCGTCGCTAACACGTCACCCGTTACGAAGACAATTTTTTACACGAAGTTAAAACACGTTCTATGCGTACGCCGACGTACGCTGATGTACATATACATCGATCTTTTTTTCCATGCAGGATCTAGTTCCATAATTCGATTATCAAGTAACTGAATTATGATGAAACGGTAGATGACTCCGATCAGCTGTTAACGAACGGCCATATTTGGCGAGATATCGAACGGGGTCCTTGCCTACTTCCTCGCATTCCAGATTATGTCTTATTATAAAAGATCCGATCTTGTGTTCTTATTTCTCGTTACTTTGTTCTTTTTTCTATTTCTTTTTTCTTTTTTGTTTCTTTCCTTTTTTCTTAGTGCATTTTTTTTGTCGTCTTCTGTGATATTAAAGATCGAAATGATGCTTCTCTATCTCGGCGCATAAATAGTTAGTGCGCAACGAAGCGCGTAAATATTAATGAAGGTCGCGAATCGCAATAACACTAAACGAGCGAATGCAAATTACTTCTGCTACGCCGGCTTTTATATATTCTGCATCAGTGGCGTCCCCGTTTGTACGTCTTTTAAAACCCACGAACAGCTCACCTGATGCAAGCGCAACCGAGACGGGCTATACTCTCTGTGGGTTGAACGACGCATTCCCCCATTACCAGTAAAAGCTGTTTCAACATCAACGTAGTAGCTGGCAAATAGGTGTCGTTTCTAACGACTTCAGGACCTGGAATGAGCAAAGTCAAATTAAAATCTATTTCGAAATAATAACGAAATATCATATTTTAACTGCGATAACGCTTGATAAACAAAATGTACCTTGCAGGTGTGTCAAGTAGTCTACTACGAGATCGGTGGTAAGACCACAACATTGTTTGAAATTCGGCGCGAAGTTATCCCAACCCCTGAAGATCTTCGAAGTTTTTCTCAACCAATTTTGTACCATTGGTAAAAGTAAATGATTCACGCAATAGAGTCCAAAACCTGGTCCAGGTACGTTGAGAATATCGCGTAACAGATGGAACAATGTTTCCAAAGTATGCGGTTGATAACGTCTAGGACATATCATCGTGGCACTGGCTAAACCCTCGATGAGAATATACCATACTCGCAGAATACCACTCGGCTTGTCCATACTTTGTAGAGTCATAGTACTATAAGATTCATTTCCGGGTGGTGTTGAAAGTATCTCGTAAGACTTTTCGGATATAATTCCTTGCATCATCGAGTCGGAGTCTATGTCAAACCTGGGCATCTCCATGTTAGGAATCGTTGAATCCACGTATTGAGGAATCGTCGAAACTTGAATTCTCTGAGCTGAATGGAAAATCGGGCAAGCTGGCATACGATACATCGATGCTAATATGTCGCTGCAACTCAACAGATACTTCAAACTTTCTACGCAGAGTCTCATGCGTCTAGATTCCATAACGTCGATTTGATCCTGTTCATCCTGATGAAACTCGTTATCTCCACTACCTCTGACGTGTCTAAGAAGACAAAGAATACAATCCAATGCTGCGTTCGCAAATACCAATGTATTGTCGGTCGATAGAAATACTCTGAAGACTTCTAAAAGTGGTGCGGATTCCACGGATTCCGAATTACCGACAGATGCAACTCGTAATGCACCGAATAATGGTCGCCATCCTGAACGAATCTCCGTTCTATTCGTCTCCACGAATTCGCAAATACAACTAACGATCTAATTGGAAAAATCGATTAATTTAATAAATAAATATGCCGATAATTATGAAAATATTATGAGTAATAAACCGTATTTTACAATGTATTTTGTATTATAAATCATAGAATAAATTTATTATGATTAACGATACATTAATATCAATAATATTCGATAATTTTAACCAAATTTACCTGATCTTGAACATCACCGTCGCAAAGTTCTAAACAGAGTAAATTTTCAAAGGGCTTAAAGAGGGCCTCGTTGAAATGAAAATGTGGTAATTCTATTTGTTCGTTTAACAAAGCAGCCATCGAATCGTGAATACATTGTACTGCCTTTTTTGAGATACTTCGATCTTTGTGACAGGCAGCTTCCATAAAATGAGGACCCAAAATACTCCAAACCTATATAATTAATATTTTATGATTAATATTCACACATTAACATGAATTTTGTTAAAAATTAATTAACATAAACTTACCCTCATTATATGAATCAATGGTCTTCCACTTTTTACACACTTCAACATAACTTCACCTAATCTTGTCAATAACAATACGTTTAATTCGTTTTCTCTTGGTTTACTTCTCCTCCACCAGAACCTTTTATTGTCTTTTAAACCGTCCGTTGTTTTAAACAATTGTGCTTTGCTCGCTCTGCATAATGCTGTTAAGAATAAACAAAGAGCTTTAAGATTTAATTTTAAGGCTGCATCTTCGAACAATCTGTCAACTCGTTGAGAGAGAACACAAATGATCTTAGCTGCGTAATCCACGGGTAAGATGCCATTGAATTGGTTATCTGCATTAGATTCTTGAATAATTTCTGGTATTGTATCGGAGCTTGGATTTTGTGCATAGGGACTCGATAGAAAACTATATACATCAACGCTGCAACAAAAAAAAAGAAAAAGAAACAACAATAATTAATTTATTTATTCAACATTATTATTGGATTAAATGTTACGGGACAAATCATACCAAGTTTCTTCTTCGTCAACTATATTAAAATTCAGTCGAAGTCTGTCTTGACTACCTTTGATATCACCGTTAGCAGATTCTTTCTTTTCTTTCTTTTGATGTGTCTTGGGAAGAGATGGATTTTGATTTCGACCAAAAAAATCGTGTTCTAATTTGCTCACGTACAAACAGCACCTAACATGAACGTGATAATTCATTTTTTTTTACTTTCTTAATATTCGTAATTATTAGATATGTTTAATTTTAAATGAACTCACGTAAAAACATGGGGCCAACAATCACTACCGTGACTACCAAGCTCCAATCCTCTACCTAAAAGTACGTCCATGCTCAAAGCGTGGGAAGTATGAAGATTCGTTGCTCTGTTTTGTAATTTCAATCGAAGAACATCTTTCGTTCGAGTTATCTTTGATATGGATTGTTCTGTACATGCAGCTTTCGCTAATAGAGCAAAAATAGATCCGCATCGATTCTGCAATCCTAAATTGATTTATAAAGAATTCATTTATTATTTTTAATCATCAAAATATTAAAATAATAAATATTAATATTTGAACCCTTTCGTTACAGTATGCAAAAACACCATATGAAATTTACATCGGCGGCCCATAGATGGGTCGCTAGTAACAAAAGGATTAAATATTAAAATAGTAAATATTAAATATTCAAATATCAAAATAATAAATATTAAATACATATTAAAATATTAAACTAATAAATATTAAGTATATTAAAATATTAAAATAGTAAATAATAAATATTAAATATATTAAATATTTTAACGATACCGGGTAATAAAAAAATTTAGTTTCGAATTACCTAGAATATTACTCAAAGTTGCAGCCTTGTGAAGACCTTCCAAAGACAAAACAACGGTATCTCTTATCTCTCTTCTCCCACCATCTCTGTTCAAAATCCCTTTATTATTTTCTTCCTTTGGAGGATTGAGTCCAATCGATAAAACAGCCATCATACTTCCCCAGCAACAAGTTAGCACACGTCTTGAAAGCTTAGCACCGGCTTCAGCTTCAGGTGTCGGTTCACTTCGAGAAAGTTGAGCTTTTTCTAATCTTATGTAATCCGACAATAGTTGTCCACCTCTCTGACTACCAGGAATACCATCGACATCTGTAGAAAAGTATTCATATGCTTTTGTTAATACGGAATTTATTTATTTATAAAGAAATTTATTTTTTTTTTTTTTTTTTGTAAATTACCAGTAAGAACGTTCACTAATGCACTGTTTTCAGTTGAGTTCGGATTGTATCCACATTTTTCAAGCAAATTACAAGCAAGTACTTGCTGATATAATTCTGAAAGCCAAGTGGCCGATAAATAAACTAATACACCAGAACCATGCACTTCTTCCACGAATTGTTCCTGAAAACACAATTTTTTATTTAATATTAATTTATTTTTAATTGTTCATCCTTCATAAGTATATTAAATACAAATTATGAATGGTACCTCGCTAATTGGCACTTGACGACTATCTTCGTTATAGTAATTCATTCTAATTAATTTAAGATTAAGTAGCAATGCCGCATAAGTTGCCAAATAAATTCCATCGGCGTTCATAATCGTAATAAGCGGGCATGAATCTGTATTATCTGTATTTTCTGTTCTTTCTTGTATTTTTTGTTGAACTGCAAATACTTCTTTAGTAATAGAAGAATTTATTTTAATATTATTTATTAGTTTAGATTATTATTGATTGATTATATTTAAAAAATTGTTTGTAATTATTTGTAATCGTAATAAGTACTTCTAAAGATAACTAACATTTATTTTATATTCTTCTTATCTATTTTTTTTTATTTAAAAGTCATCTTTAAACATTCGGATTTAATGATGAATTATATATTTTATCAATAGTTATCGCTAACACCATCTTTCGGTAAAATATTTATCCAAAGTACATTTAAAAATGCACTTTAATACATATTGCATACCGCAGGGGTTTAAAAATTCCTCGACAGATAACGTTCGCGAGCAAAATTATCGACGGAGTAAAATATTATCTACATTCAGGCGCAATATTCAACATTTATAAAAATAATAATTATACGCGAGAATGATAAATTGTATGAATTCTCACCTTGACAATATTCCGAAGCAAAATTTTGCAATGCTTCGTCAACTTCGATATTACTCCTAAGTATAAGCACCATTGGTATTAAATCGCTTCGTAAAGTTTTAACAAATTTTCTTGCGTTATGTCTTTCAACGTCAACGTTACACTCATCGGCAACCTGTCGACCTACATGAAGACATTTAGGTAATTTTTCTAATCTAAGTCTCTCTCTTTCATTCTCGATAGCATAATCGTTATCATCGAGACTGTTATCCTCATGCACCTCGTCCGATTCGTTTTGAGGACCTTCTGTGTCCGTCGAATCACCATCTTCCGATGGTCCATGACCTGATGAGTCTGAATCTGAACCAATACCTTTCTTCATTAACTCTAATTGTTCCCTGAAAATGAATTAATCGTATATAATACAAATGCTTATAATTAAATGATGAATTTAATTAATTTCTTATCGAAATATAAATTACCTATAAGTTTTTGGCAATCTTGCCATACTCTGGTAAGTCAAAGGCCCACGATAGTCGCAAGATTCCAAATCCTCGTACAAACTATTGATCGTGCAAGTGTAATTATGATTAATAGCTTTGCCCTCGGAAAGTTCTTGAAGTGCTGAAAGCATTGCAACTATGCAAGAAACACTGGCATGTAAAATAGATAATCCTCCTGTTGTTGATTCTTCGATCGAGTCCATTGCTCTGCAAGAAAATACATGAATTTTATTTATCATATTTCACACATAATGTGAATTATCGCATATCTATTATTATAACAATATTAAAAATATTAATATAATATATTATTTACAATCTCATTAACGCCATATCGCTTTGTATATGACTCGAACGATCTTCCTCAACGAGTAAAGGACCAGCGAAGTCTACCATACGACTAGGACTGTGCAACAATTCTTTCAATGCTTTCAAAGGTTCTAAACGTTGCTGAAGTGGAGGATATAATAACATTCTATGAAAAACTGACTCTAACACCGGTCTTAAAGGACCTACACAGCCAACCAGTCTCACAAGCTCAGTTCCAATGCTAAGAATAAAACAGAAATAAGTTAGATTATATAACCAAATTTGAAGTAAAATTGTTATCTTTATTTTTTTAGAAAGTTACCTGTATACAGTCTTTGCCTGATGACTGTCAAAACTTAATGACGTAGCGAGATATCCCGATCCTCTACCAACTTCATTTTCCTTACCCTCTCTCGATGTAAAAGTTTTATCTACTCTAGGTGTTCCTAGAAAAGCTATCAAAGCTGGACAAAATTTTTGCCAGAGAAAGGTAGTAAAGTGTGCGTTCGTGTGAATCTTTTGCGGAAGCGACGATATCAAAGTATGAAGACATTCCAAAAGAAACACTACCGTACTACTGTTTCTCGCGTTACTGTAACAAAATGTCCTAAATATTACAACGACAATTTTTTTTATGATATTGTATATAAACGCGTTTGAAGATTTATCAACAAACATTAATGGTATTCGTTTCTCTTACTTTTGAGCTTCGTCAAGTTTACTACAAATATATTGAAGAATCGGCAAGGCCTCGTTGAAACACGACACACCACGTTCTCGTACATTTTTATTTTTTTTCGCGTTCTCATCCATCTCCTGACATTCCTCGTCTGTACAAATATTTTATTTTTTATTTTTCTTATTTTTTTCAAATAAAAAACAACTGTCCAAGATATGATAATTTGATAACTTGATTAACAAAATCAATTTATTAAACAAAACTAATTTAAAGTTTGATTGATGAAGAATCTGATTACTTTGGAGGAAAAAACTTTGACGTTCCGTACTCGTGTCTCACACGCGATCTTAAAATTTATCGATCAAACTTTTCTTTAGTTTCTTAGATAAAATCGATTAGGATATAAAATAAAAGTGTATCTATATATACCTAAAAACAAACAAAAGGATCTTAAGGTTTGGCTCGTTGCAGCCTGTGCCGCAGTACGAACAGCTTGATTTCCATTCTCAAAAGCTTCGCTGCAAGTTGTAAGTATTGCGATGATCAAACGGCCGTTCATCGTCCAATATGGGGAACATGCGACTTGAAGTAAAACCTGCATATAAAATGAAAATTATAATCATTCGTTTAAACTACTTTTTTTCTTAGTTTTTCCTTGTTTTTTTACTTACTTTAAGCATATCCGTTTGAGTATCGTCCGACTGCGAAAGCATCGAACTCATTGCGTGTAACATTTGAGCTGGCAACCATAACGAATCATCCTCCGGTTCGTATGGAGATTGAAATATGTCGTCTCTCAACATTTTCTGCATTGCGCGACAAATCAAGAAAATGAATGTTTAGATATTTGAATTAATTTTGATAACATATCGAATTGTTATTCAATGTCTGCGTGAAACTAGATTTTACTGAAGTACAAATATGGCGGTTCTATTTGTGATATCATTTTATCGTAGATTTCCGGAACACAACTACCGCAAAGGAAAACATTCAATCATAACGTCAAACAAACCATTTACGAGTATAATATCATTGCAAATAAAATAAATATTATAAAATATATTAAATGTGTTGCACCGTATACTTGAAACTTATCTTTCGAATGTTGCATATACGTTATAAGTAAATAACGACAAAAAGAAAATGATCGTATATGTACGAGAGGTAAAAAGTATCTATATAAATGATTATTTTAATCGTAAAAAATCTCACATGTAATCCCGATAGGCCAAAAGCAACAAACTTGCTTCTTTTCGTTTCGAGTGCTAGCTGAAGCGCGTGTAAGCATTTTGCTCGTAATTCGTGCGGTGGATCCCGCAACAAACCTTGCTGTTTACCCAAGAAATCTGAAAAAGATAAAAAAAATAAAATGTCTAAATTATCAGGAATAAATTCGATAAATGATTTAGCTGTCGTGAAGTTTGTCGTTGTTTGAAATGATTTTAAAAGAAAAACGAAAAAGAAAATCCGTGTGTATACTTTGTTAACCAAAATCTAAACGAGTTGTATTCTTGTCGGAAGAATTACGACGTTTACGTGTCGAGAGAAAAAATATTATTAATATTAAAATTTTTTAAAACTGAAACTCACCGTACGCTTCCTGCGCCGATTTCCGTAAATTTTGTAATTTTGCATTATTCGACTCCCTGATGATCTGCTGCAGGAGATCCTCCATGACACGGCGGGCTGCCACGCGACTGATCGATAGCGGGTGTGCCAATGCACGATACGTATATACGACTTAACAGGACCGTATCAAATACATCTTTTTTAAAGGGGTTTTAAAAAAATATTCTTTTATTGATCAAATTATTTTATTACTTTTCTTTTTCTCGTTTTATTTCTATTTACGTTATATTCTTTTATAATTGTTCGTCAATTGTTATACACGATGAGAAACGAAATTACGATTATTATAATAATATTTAATCATTTTTTATTATTGGTACACCTGCTACCAGTTATTTCTTATAGTGGAGGATTCAAATCTATGCAATTGAATGGAACTTAAACCGTTACTCATTTTCTCATATTTGAAACTCCCGCCACTTTGAAAGCAGAAATCGAATTCTATCAAAATTACGATACGTCTAACTCGATGTTAATATCGATTTCAAGTCAATATATTTATTATGTTTGAAATTCCCGCAGTTTTAATTGCAAAAATCAAATTGAACCAATATTACATAACTTGTCAATTGATTTTTAATATAAATTGCAAGTAATTCAGTTCAAAAATAAAGAAATAGAACATATCAGGTAATAAAAATCAACAAGATATGCATAATAACTAAAAAATAAAACATGTTGTTTATCATATGCATGATCTAATCAATATATTTATACAAATAAGTAATCAATAATAGCTATCATATTATTGAACAAAATTCAGGAACATGAAATAGCAGGAAAGTAATTTAAATAAAGCGCGGGAAAATTATCTTTAAAGGCTAACACTCTAAAATGAAAATAATAAAATATCTTACTAATTTTTTGTTTAATTAAATGTTTATTTATAATACAATTAAATATAGTTTAAAATAAAATTCGAATGAAATGATAAATGAATGGAAAATATGAGAAAAAAAAATTATTGAAGTATATATTCATAAATATAATTTATAAATAGATACTTGTAAAAGTTCGTTGACCGTATTACTAGCAAGCATTTGCTTAAGACATAAAAAAAAAACAAAAAAAACAAAATAAAACAAAATCTAAGGAACGTCTATTTAGACGAACCTGTTTCGTAGGCGAGGTCATACAGCGAATCATGTCGTCTGTGCAAAAGATGGCGACGACGAATAACAGTAAGCCGAAAGGAAGGAGATTATCGAAAGAAAGTATAGATTTTTATCCTCTTGCTGTGCATCTGTTAAGTAAGAAATTTTCTATATCAAATGTCAATGAAAATATACTATAGATTGTGATATCTCATAAATGATTTATTATTTTATTATGACAACAGGTATCGGTTTCGGGTTTCTACACCGGTGGCATGTATCAACGCTTTTTGAAAATGATCGACACTTTTCTCATTTATCAGAAATCGAAAGAGAAATGTCTTTCAGGACTGAAATGGTTAGTTTAAAAAACACAAATATTATATACAATGTTCATAGAGAGAGATCACAGATTAGTATATATGTTTTTTTAAATGTTATTAATACTGTTGGTTTTTTTAGGGAATGTATTATTCATATTATAAAACCATCGTAGGAGCAGAAAGTTTTGCTGATGGTGTTTATAAACTTGCTAAGGATAACATATCAGAATATGGAAATGTGATAAATGCTTGCAGGAAATATAACCTCTTACCAGAGGTAAATGTTTTACCAACACAACGATTATATATATATATATCTTAGCTTTATTAATTTTGAGATTATTAGATAGATGATTTTATATATACAGATTACAGCCAGTTATTTCTATCACAGTGCCAAGAATCTAGGATTAATATCTCAAGAACAATGTTGGAAAGTAAGTTTACCAATGCATTTTTTGCTATTGTTATTTCTTTGGAAAGAATAACCATAAGGCAGTTCATTTTAGACAGAGAGAGGAGGTGGTTTACCACCGGTAACCAGCTGTGAAGGCTTAGGTGTACCTGTATATTTTTATCTTGAAATAGTTTGGATTACCACCATATATACAGCTGCTATACTTTTTAAATACTCTACGTATATGAGTGACTCTGTGTTCGGTGGTATTATTACTATGCTATTATTTTTCTACAATCACAATGAATGTACTCGTGTTCAATGGACTCCTCCATTAAGAGAAACTTTTGCATATCCAATGTTACTCTTCCAAATGTATTCGGTGACTAAGATCATTGAACGACACACTACACAGGATATACAAGGATATGTAAGTTGGAGAGAACTTACCGATGGATTATATGTGGTAAATATTCATACTTCTTTTTTGATAATCCAAGTTATTAATGACAATATATCTATGACAATAATCAAAGAGAAAAATAAATTCTCTGTTGGAATTTCTTTTTCTGCGTGGTAGCTAATGTGTTAATTTGTATTATTTAAGTACCTTATTTTACTGCGTTATATAATAATTATATTTAATTACAGAATATGCTTTTGGGAACTGTGATCAGTCTATGTAGTTGGCAATTTTCACAATTTATCTTAGCCACTCAAATACTAGCCATTCTTATTCTTAAATGGGTTGAAATTATACCTAAGAATCTATTCTTACCGTTAAGTAGAATATATACTATTTCTAGTATTTTATCAATGGCTGTGATAGATGGCACATTATTATTTAATTCTATATTCGCGTGTATTTTAATCGGTAGTAATATAGCAGAAGTTCTTGCCAGTAAATGTTCTCGTTTCTTGAATGGCAGAAAAGAAGTTATTCTTGAGATAATTATTGCTGTACTTTTCACAAAATGGTTAAAATCGTATATTCTCACCATCGAAGACGACGCACACATTTATAATATTTTAAGATCAAAACTAACAGACTATAAGGATTTTCATACCCTGCTCTACACATGTTCTCCAGAATTTGATTTCTTGCAATATAAAACTTATGAAGCAATCATCAAGACTTTACTTTTACCAATTGCAATACTCTCAGGAATATTAGCGCTTTATTATTGGTATAGAGAATATGAGAGCGAAGGATATCCTTATTGTATAGAAGCAGATGTATGTTACAATGGATTACAAACTGGAGCTTTCATTATTATGGCTGTATTCGTTATGAGATTAAAGCTTTTCATGACACCACATCTCTGTATAATAGCAGGATTGGTATGTAGTAAAAGATACTCGGAAAAACTTGGATTAAGAAGTAAAGCAATCAGAGGAGCTATAATAGTCTTACTCATAGCTGGTATGTCTTATCACGGTTTGGAAAGATTTCGAGAAGAACGAGGATTCGTTGGTAATTAATATTCATACGTTATTCATATATCAAACGAACATATTTCACTCATTTCCTTATAATATCTAAACTAATCAATATTTTATATTCATAGGAGAATACAGTAATATCGAACAGGAAGAATTATTTGAATGGATAAAAGAAAATACTCCTAAGAACGCAGTATTTGCTGGTAAAATGGCATTAATGGCTAATTTGATGTTATCAACTGGAAGACCTATAGTAAATAATCCTTATTACGAAAGTGCAGAAATGCGGTTAGTTTATTATTAATACTGTTTGATATAGATGACACAAATTTATATGAATCATAATAAAGTTATTATCTTATTTATTTCAGAAATCGAACCATGGCAGTCTACGAAATTTTCAGTAGGAAAAATGCAACATCCGTATATCTTAAATTAAGAAATATGCATGTCGGTTACGTTGTATTAGAAGAGCCATTATGTCTCGGATACGCAAATGTGTAAGCTTTTTAAACTTGAACTTCTAATTAACATATTAATCCTTTGCACTCCCATAGTGAGTCTCACTAATTACTCTGTTCTTTATGTCAACTTATGGTATCTGAAACTCATTACAGTTAACACAAAGAACAAGATTTTAAATAAGACTCATCGTTGGAATGCTAAGAGTTAATTAAATGTCAACTGATAATTAATTTTTTTTTTAGGCCAAACGGTTGTCAAATGGTCGATTTATGGGATGTGGTTGATAATGGAATGGCGAAAGCAAGTGGAAAACCACCCCTTTGTCCATTATTATTAGAAGGAAACGCTTATCCCTTCAAACGAGCTTTCATGAATAATCATTACGTAGTTTTACAATTAGTTTATTCACATTATTTAGAATATAATCCAAAGACTTCCACGCCGCTCCAGTATCAATTTTGAATACTGCGTTCGTGATGACTGAAAAAAAGTGACTAAATAATAGATACAAAGATTCTTCGTAATATAATAATATCTCCTATAGGCCTATTTTTCTTAAGAAAATGATGGGAAACAAGAAGTGGAGAAAAAAAAAGAAATACACAAATACTATATATATATCTATATCTATAGAAATATTATAGAAAAAGAATCAATATATATATATTTTGTTAACGCTAATTTGTGGGATAAAGAATGGAAGAATTTTCTTTTTGGAAGAGACTTTCTCTATCGTATTCGCATAAAACGTTCCTAACGAAATTTTAATTAAAATCGAGTTAGGAAACGAATCTATTCGATAATGAATAATTCGTTTGAAAATAATAAAAGATCCAGACAAACGAGTTGATCGTTAACGATTATGGCTTCCGACTGATCGTTCGAGACTGCTCAAAGCATTTTTATAATGAAAAGAAGAGAAAAATAAATTTACAAAAAAAAAAACTTAAATCAAGGTACCTAGATGATTTTTTAATTTGCCAATAAAAAAAAAATAATTGGATTTTAAGTGTTAGACCTTTTTTTTTAATTAGAGATTTTTAAAATGTAATTATAGGAACAAATTTATATTATAGATTCATTAAAGATTTTCTCTGTGTGCGTTTTGTGTAAATAATATAATGTAAATATTCTTTAAATTTCTTTTTTTTTATTCATTTATTTTTATACAGTTCACAAGAAGAGTTCAAAAATATAGAATACTTATTAAACTAGGTTCCTCGCGAGTCATCCCTCATCATCGAAGTATTTTTATCGAAGTGCTAACGAAGAGTAAACGATTGGTTGAATGAACAAAGTAAAAAAAAAAAAAATAAGGAAAGAAAAGAGAAAAAAAAACAAGGCATCGAAGAGCGCAAACGTTCGCATCGATGAGGATCGGCCTTGAACGATCAAAGCATGTGCGTGGATTTGCCGTATGGGATATGATGGACGAAGGTTTAAAAAAAGAAAAAGAAATACGCAAGGGAAATCGAATAAAAAAAAAAAGAGAAGGCGAAAGAGAAAATGGGAAGGAATGGAAAAGAATTAGATGGGATGGATTGGAAAGGGAAGGGAAAGGTAGGGTAGGGTAAGAGAAAGATAGAGGAAGGGACACCGAGGGAAAGATCGAAGTATCGTGACGCAAAGATAGCTCCGTTATGACCGACACGGCATAGCACCTTCACTTTGGAGTGCAACAGATAGTATAGCGGAGAGTTCGAAGCGTTTGCTATACTACGTTGTGCCGCTGACCCAAATGAATCCTACTGACAGTCAGTCCCGGGCCGGGCTTCTTCGCGGTGATATTGCTCCCGCGTTCTTACTCTTCAACAGACTTATACTAAAATAATAATAATAACAACAACAAAAACAATAATCATTATTATTATTATTATTATTATTATTATTATTATTATTATTATTATTATTATTATGAAAAATAACGAGTCGATCGCGTAAAAAAAAAATTGTTAACTGCGTGTCGAAGAGATAATATAAGAGAAAGGGATATCTCAGTTCGTTTTTAATCGGAGAGACATTAAAGCGCAACCAACATCGTTCCCGCATCGGTTACGTGAAAATTTGCTTCCCATATTGTCGCTTAATTTACGAAACACCGAATGAGAAATGTTTCCACGATGAAAGGGGCTCTGTGGAAAGTGAAATATCATTATCAATGGTAGAATCGTAGGATTAAATACAAGTTACGATAGTTTTCAAATTTGTGCGGAAAAGTATCTATGATTCCGTACATCTTGATTGGCTTTTAAAATTGGAGAATATAGGCTTCGATCTCGAGGCGGGAAAGAAAAAAGGGAGAAATTAAAATTTTGAATGAGAGTAAAAAGGAAGATAACGAAAAGATACACACGATTTATGTTAGAACACGTGTAAATATGCTAAATCGGTACTGCTGACTGTCGCGAGGAACGAGGATACACGGTCGATCTGAAAATACGCATTGCCGGGGTGCTTGTGAAAAGGAAAGAGAAATACTTACGGAGATCACGGTGAAAAACCACGAAGGTGGAGGAGGAAGAGGAAGAGGAAGAGGAAGCAGAAGAAGAAGAAGAGAAAGAGAAAAATTCGTTCGCAGGATGTAACAGATTTGCTAAAACAACGTTTTAACAATAAAATTAAAATTAAATGCAATTACTGTCGACATTTGAAGAATTAATTAACGAAGGAACACACGTGATTTTATCAACGAAAAAGCAGCAATGCGGTTACATTTAATAAGGGTGTTTATTATTCTACGATAGTTATTGACAGCCGAGTTGCCAGTGAGTATTTAACGATCATTTAAATAAACATTATTAAACGTGCGTTTCGAAGGCAACAAAAATTTCATTTCCTTCATTCACGCTTGAGAAAAACGAAAGAAACCAAAGCGGGTAGAAGGGCAGGAGGGAGTCCAAGGGTTGGACCTCAAGGACACGTCTTCCACTTTGCGACCTTGTCTGCGATTTACCAACGAGAGCCCATTAATTCGCTCAACGAGTAGGACTCGATGAGCGCTAACTTATTATAATAATGACTCTTCCTTCATTAGATCGTTTTCTTTCATCTTTTTACGATCTCTTCTCTGGTTTTGTTTTTTTCCTTCTATTCTTCTAATTAACACATTCTTTTAATCATTAAATCATAAAATACATCATCATCACCATCCTTGCAATAACGATCTTAGGATTTTATTATTAAGTCGAGAAATCATTCGAGTTGGAAACCCTTGGAAGTCGTGCGAGCAAAACTCGTTCCAGGTTGGCCTCGAAAGCGACCGCGGGACAACATAGACAGAGAAAGAAAGAGAAAAAAACAAGAGAGAGAGAGAAAGAGAGACGGGTCGTTGCCGTGTTAGGAATTTGGCACGACGCATTCTTCGAGTACGGGGACCTCGCAAAAACTGGTGATGCAAAGAACACACGGAGGAAGAAGAAGAAGCCTTACTAGCTTGTCCTGAATCTTTAGTCGATAGGAGAAGAAGAAAAAGTAAAGGAAGAATTAGTCGATCGGCGAAGTCTTGAACGCCGTTTAATACGATTATCGATTCGAACATGTTCACATGCTAAGACTAATCTTCGCGATTCTCTATTCGCACATACATACATACATAGATATRTAGATACATACATACATACATAAGTACATTGAGAATATCATCGAGTATCTGTTACTTTCTCGAGCCACGTATTTCTAACCTACTTTTGCAAATCGTAACCCCCCTCTGAGGGAGGGAAAGAGAGAGAGAACACGATGGATGGTTACTATCGCACGAAGATACTCGTGCCAAGTCTTCTTTTATCACGACGGATGATTCGGATCGTTAAATTCGGTGCAGTGGCCCTGCGAAATCGTCGAAAGCCGAAATTTCATTCGTTGCAGTTCAATCGAGTAGCTCGACTTATTCGGTAGATCTTTGAAAGAAAACAAAAAACATTAATTTTTCAAATAATTCATTATAAGTTCTTTATTTTTACAATTATTTATATATCCTAGTTACATCTTTGGTTATTTATATATACGTCGATACGATACGAGATTGAAGGTATTAAATAGAAGATCTAAATCGGTCGAACRATTAATTAATTGTACGACCCACGTTCAACGGATGCGAGGACATTTATCGTGGGAATATAAAAGAGTGACCGCATCGAGGAGGATTCTTTTTTTCCTCTCTATTTTTTTTTCTTTCTTTCCTTATTCTACGACACAACCACGTATTTTCCGGTGAAACGAAATAATCCTATTAAATCAGTGATTACTCGAGAAATGCTCGCAGCATTTATTATGTTAAGTCCGTTGCACGATTGATTATTATAGTAATTATCTCGGCTTTATTCTTATACACTGTGATGATGTATAAATAACGGAAGATACACTAGAAAACGAGAAAGAAAAAAAGAATAACGATAAAGATACGTTTATAACAATAAGAAATTCAACGACAATAATATTTTCTATCAGGAAACTGGTGTAATATAATTTCAAGGTAGAGGCCGTTATTCCTTTAGTTTTAAGATATTATTTTTCATTTTATTTTGAAAACTTTTAAAAATAAATAAGGAACACTCACCGATTCTCTGTAAAACGAGAAATAGAGAGAGTAGGCATCAAATTTACGAGTTTAAAGAGAAAGAGAAACAGAGACAGAGAAAGAGAGAAAGAAAGAAAATTCCAAGCCGGAGTTTCACATGACCGAGTTAGAACATCCAGTTTTACTGGGACAATGGTTATGACACGGGAGATCGCTTTCACACCACGTTCTACGTGTTGTCTCGCGATGCATCGCGATATTACTCCTGAGCTTTGCGCTAATTTACCAGAGGTCATAATCATAAACGTCATTTTTGTCCCTCGTCATAACGCAATTGCGGACATTGCCATTTCGATGATAATCTTTTATGTATGTATGTATGTATGTATGTACACGTGTACAGATATTTATATGTATGTGTGTGCTTTTAAGTATATACGTATTTGCGAAAGCAAATGAGATCATTTAAGAAACGTGATTAGATCATAAATACTGAAAAACAAAAAAGAAAGAAAAAACAATTGAGTTAAATACTTCGAGGTTTTATTTCCTCTTCTTCTTCTTCTTCTTCTTCTTAATTAATGAATGATCGTTTAATGAAATTAAAGTCGAGTTTAAGTTTCCTTACTCGAAAAATTATATGTCCTACGTGGTTTGAAAGTATAAAACAACTTTCTTTGAGATAATTAAGGAGAGTATTATATATTATATCGTTTGGACGTTTAATCTCCTTTCTCTTTTTGCATGACTATTTATAATATTAGACAATTTGTTTATTCGATAGAAAGTTTGCTTCATTTTCAAACCTTCATCCATAATTTTTAATTACTCGCGTACGCAAACTTGTATATCTCCGATCTCTCTTTTTTTTTTGTACTCATTTTTATTTCACGAAATTATGATTGGTATATTTGTTTTCTTTTTCTTGAAAAACGTAGAAAATATGTTTGATATCGAGTATATAAAAATTGTTTGCTATTCTTGAAATTGTATTGAATTCTCTTCATCCTATTTTACTTGCATATATTTACGAATTAAATTTATTTTTTAATTTATTTTTTATATGTTTCATTTGTTTATTAATTGTTTTCTTTTCTTAAAGAAATATTTATCTATTTAATAGAACACAATTGTTTAATGTGATTTAACACGTTCTAATTTTTTTTTGTTCGACTTTCGAAATTCATAAAATTCTTCTCACCTAGATATACACAAATATCATTCATATATATTCTCTCTTTCTTACAATTTGCATTTCACGAAATTGATTTTCCCCATTGAAAATATGTCAAGGAAAAACATTCATCGATTAAGTACATAACAATTATTTAGATACTTCAACGCTCTCCAATCTTTTTCTCCGACTCTCACAATTCATTAAATTCTTTTCAAATGCATATATATATAGGTCACGCGTATTGTTTCTTTCATAAAATTTATATATTTCACAAAATTAATTAAATTTTATTCTATATGAAATATTATTTTATGTCAAGGAAACATCTATCCATTTAACAGTATAAAGTAATTATTTCAATATTTCAAAATTCTTTTAATTTTTTATTTATTACAGTTATTATAAAACTTTTTTCACTTACATCCCATTAGTATTTACATATCACTTATGCCTATTTCTTTTTTATACAAATTTGTTATTTGACCAATTTAAAATAATATTTCTTTCATAAAATATATTATTCTTTACTTAAAAAGCAACCTCCATCAATTATATTAACAATTTGTCTATTTTGACACGGAAAATCATGAAATTATTTTCACTTTACCCCATAATACTGTGGATTGTATGTGTGTGTGATCCTTTGTTCATGTGGTGATTTGTCCTTTAATTCAAAGGATAAAAGTGTTACACAAATCTTTCTTTGAGACATTTTCATTCCAAAAGATTCTTTCTATTCGTTTGAATATATAATATATATTTTTTCTCTTCTCTCTCTCTCTCTCTCTCTCTCTGTTTTTTTTATTCTTTATTTTTTTTTCTTTCTCTGTTTCTTCCTTCCCGACCTTGGTAACTCTACAGCACCTATCGACATTCCAACTTAATCGAACGGCACGCCTCCCATAACGATGGACCCGAGCCGCATACCGATGAGCCTTTTACGAACAACACACACATACACCTACACTAAACTCTTTTTATGTTCGACTGACCTATAAGGAGAGAGGCACAAACCTTAGAAGAAGAAAACGGATGATACGTTTGACTTCGACCGGATTTTCTTTAATGCATTGAACTAAACCCCACCGTTTAGATTACCCTTTCGAAAGAAGAAAGAAATCTAACAATAACTTACAAGGTTCCCTGCTATTTCTCTTCAAAATATCTTTTGAAAACATCGTGTGATCGCGCCTAATCCTTTTCTTTTTTTATTGTTTGATTTACAAAATTCATCTTTCAAAGCTAATAATCGGATTTCACAACTGAAAACATTTATAATCTGATTTCGACGAAGTTTAATTGAAAGTGTCATATCATTTCAATTCATTTTTCATATTCAGGATTAGACGTTTAACGATTAATGAAAAGGTATATTTTTCATGTATTATTTGCTAAAGATAGAATAAGCTTATCTTTTTTTATCCTCTTTATTTAACATTGTCTTATTAAAGTGCTTGTATCTACCAGTGGTTCACGCATAATTGTTTTATCGGATGGCTTGTACCAGTAATGGTACAAACGTTCTAGGTAAATCAAAGAATTCAAATTTATACTGTTTAGTGGAAAAATAAATTCAGAAATTTGAGTCGCCCCATAGTAAAAGATTCTAAATACTATACTATTGTTAAATTTTGTTTAATATAAATAAATGCATGCATAAGGTATAATAAATTTTGCATCTTTCTATACTGTAAACATATATAATATGTAATTATTAAATATATATATATTTATATTATATATTATATTGTTTCAATGTTAAGGTTATATTTTATATTATATAATTAGTAAATATATATTTAATAATTATTAACATAAAAACCAAACTGAGTTAAAAATATATGTTACAAACTTAATTACCCTAGTAATATTTGTATTTATATGTTTCCATCGAAATAAACATGCATCATCAATAAAAAGAGTCGGTGAAATTATCAAAACTTGGGAGGGGGAGGAAGGGGGAGAGAAGAACTATTACAGGCAGTAAATATAAACATAACGGATCAGTCGTGTTCGAGACGTGGATCGAGAATCGTGTTCCATCTTGGATTCCTCTTTCTTCTTCCGGAAACTAATCCCTTAACGTGAATTCTTCATTCTAATTTATTTTTCATCGATATAGGATATAACTCGTGCGATCTTCGATCCAACATCATTGATCGATGTTATCTTTCTATGGGAAATGAAGTATTTTTTTTCTACAATATATATAAACATACACGTACACACACACACCTTTCAAAACCGGTTTCACGTAGCAATTGTCACGGCTGATTTCACTTGGATTTAGAGTGTGCCGCGAAATTGAAAAGCATACTGGTTACACCGTACTACCTTTGAATTTTCTTACCACGGATGGTAGATATCGAAAGAGAGAGAGAAAGATATATCGGAAACTAGAATGTTTTATGATCATACACAAGTTGGATAAACATGTTGCATAACACTTGAACTATGATTATTAGCTCACATTGAAGAACACCAATAGGCTTCAGAAACTTGTTAAAATAATCACACGATCGAAATACGAATGATTATAATAATAATAATAATAATAATAGCAACAATACAACAACGGTAACAAGACTTTCGAATTATTTATCCCGTCGTTTTGTTTCGATTTAAAAACGTAAAACGTTTTTCTAATCTCTTTCTTTTTCTTTTTTTTTTCTATAATCGTAAATTCATATATAATATATATATATACGTATAATTTTATGGAAATAATTTATGGTACATTATTGTATTATAACTTTTTAGAAATTTGCTCATTTGTATCGTTGATAAATTGTTGATCAGTATTCGTTTGAAAATGTAATAGTTCGAGTAGGCTTTGGCAATAAATTAGACCGCAGTTCTGCGCGGAATAGAAAGTTGTAAAACCGTTACATTATGAGAATAAATGAACCAAAAGTGAAAGAAAAAGAGAGGAGAGAGATAAACAAGAGATTTATAATATATAATATACATATATATAGAAAAAAAAAAAAAGAAAAAAAAAATAAACTTAGCAAAAAAAGAAGTGGACAATCTCACGTGAAAAATAAAAAACACATCATCGTCTTCCCTTTCTTGTATTCTTCCGTCTTGAAATTTAACGCGTTTCACGGAGAAACGGAAAGATTTCAGTGCTTCCTTGTTTCCGTTATAATGCAAGTTTCCATTCGTAATACAAGAAGACTTCCGATTATATTATTAATCTCATCCGACTCTCTTCCTTGTACGTTATAAAAAATACTATATATATATATATATATATATGTGTGTGTGTGTGTGTGTGTGTGTGTTTGTACGTATAAACACGGTAATTACTAAAGCTTTCATCGAGATGAAGACGTCGAATAGAAGAGATAAGGATCACTCTCACTAGAAATTATTCTCTCGTTTTGGAAACGCGAAAGGAGGAATCCTTAACATTGAAACAACAACGGATCTGACGAAACTTCATTGTAGAATACTTGAAGACGTTATGTTTTATATTTAATTAATACGTACGATGATAGTTCGCAAATATAATTATCATTTTTATTTAATATTAATATCTTGTAATTTGAATCTAATGTTAATATAAAAAAAGTTATATCCTCATAATTTAGTCATTAATTTCATGCTTACTTAGTTCGTTAGATTTCGTAAAATAGCACTTGCTTGATTCGAATAGAATTTAATTTTGAATGAATTTTGTATAAATTTTTGTGGTTACCCTCGTAAATTAACGAAATTAATATGTCTTTGAACTTTCTTTTTTTTGTTATTTCTTTCTTATTTTATCGTATTAATTTATTTTAGAGATGCGAAGCGAGGTTAGCGAATGGTTGGCAACGTGCGTTGGTTCGCCGATATGTATCCTCTTGCTTTCTTGGTCTTTACTAATCTATCAAAATCAACCATCCTCGACGAAGAGAAGAATAGACGTACTAACGGTGGCAATTATTGCGGAGAGTCTCGTACATCAACTTGGATTACTATTTTATGCTATCCTTACTTTAATTCGACCAGCAAATCATTTTGGAGGTAAGGGTTTTATTTTTATTATAACTATTAATTATATCTTATATACTATAATATTTAATATAATAATAGGAAAGATATTATATGTGCATTAATGTTAATATAATATTAGTAGATATAACGTAGATGATGTCCTAGTTTTTCATATAATTATTAAATTTTATTATTATTAAATATAATAATTTCTACAAATTATTAAACATACAAATAACCAAAGTTTTTCTTACTAGAAATATTCAATTACATCTTATGTTAAATACAATAATATTTAATGTTAAATCTAGGAAAAAGTAATCTATTATTTTTGTGTTTAAATAAATAACGCGTTTAAATTACATTTAAACAAATATAAAAATAATGGATTTATTTATTCAAGACATAATATAATACATGAAAAATATTATAATAATATATTATAATAATAATAAAAATATTAGTTATTACTTTTTAATTAAACATTTAAGATCTCATGTTTGTTTAACACTTTTTTCTTATTTTTATTTATAGAATAAGTTCATAAAATGTTGTTGAAAATAAACCAGGATATTCTAGACGTTATATTTATTAATATTATAAAAGAAATAATATATAATAAAATAAAGAATATAGATAAACAAACGTAGAGAAAATATTTCTATATTTTCAGAATTATGTTCAACTTTAGTTTGGATCCTAAACTCATCGAGCATACTACAAGAATTAACCTTGACGTCTATCGCAATTTTCGCAGCAATAGGGAGCAAAGATGAGCGGTTTAATTTAACAAAAAATCATTTGAAGTATCATTTGGTCAGTTTAAGCGTAATAAGCGCTTGCATTGGTATAACAGGCGTTCTCAACTTTGAACCAGATATATGTGTATTTCTACCGCAAGAAGTATCCATGAAATATGGAATATTCGTCAATTCTCTAAGATGTTTGCTATTACTTGCTTCGCTCATTGGTTTATTGATAGCAATATTTAAAAGTTTATGTCGTACCCCAAAAGCAGAATTATTAAAATCTGTTTCGGATTTGTCCGAGACCAGTTCGAAAAATTCGTCAGGTGCTTTCGAATGTCATCCTCATCAATGGGATCCATCGAGCGGTTCGTGCACCAGTGGTTCAACCAATAGCAGAGCTTGTCTACGTAAGAAAAAAATTCACGTTGATGAAAGTGGCGAAAGATCGACAGTTTACAGCATTCTATTCGTTTGTTACATCTTCGAGCATCTTCCAGTATTGGTGAGTCCAATTGAATCGAATCGAATCAAATCGAATCGAATTGAATTAAATTGAATTAGATAATCTCATTTTATTGAAAAATAATGAGATTGTATTTTAATTCGCGCTTATTCATCGTTACACGTAAAATTGTTATTCTAAGATTTGTGATAAAACGATTACAAATCGTTGAAATCTAATAGTTAAATTTTCAATAAGAAGTCACCGGTTCTGTTATTAGACTCGGTTATTGCGTTAACGTAGTTTCAAATAGTTGTTAAAATAAAAGTAAGAAACAGAGAGATAATCGAGAAGAAAAAAAGATTCGATGAACAGTAAAGCATTACGTAATCGTCTCGTAATTCGTGTACACGAATCAAATTAATCGTTCGCTTTCCATAAAACGCTAAAAGAATTTACAAAAAATACTAATGTATCTTTTCTTTTCTTTTCTTTCCACCCTTATTCGGATTAATTATTATACTTTCGAATTTATTTAAACGAGCCTAGGGCGATGTAATTTGTTACCCCTTCGTCGATTATCGATTCAAAAAGAGAGAAAGCAAACGACTGGTAGAATTAAACGTTTCGTATTTGTTAACGTGTTTCTTAATATATTTTTATTTTTTTCATTGAAAGAATATTAAATCTTTTTTTTTATTTACGATCCACTTGTTTCTCGTGAAAACATCAGAGTATTATTATAACCAATCGAGGAGGATGTTTCGAGATCGCCTATGAAATTACATGCGGCACGTCGTGCGTAACCGCGTTGTATAATTTACATTAGTCAGTCTACTCTTCACTCTACTTTTTCGGATTACCGGAACGGTGCATCCAACAGAACAAAGTAGTTTTCATTCCCCTTCGAATACTTGACCATCTATATAACAATCTAGATTGCAACTGTTGGCTATATAAATACATCCAATAACCTGTAATTTAACGATCAACATAATAAACGTCTATCTTTCTACTATTATAAATCAATTAACTTGTTTTTTATTTTTCTATAACTAAAGAAAGATACATCGTCTAAATACATGGTGTATATTAATCAGTTTGTTAATAATTATAATTCAATAACAACAAAAAAGTTTAACACATACAGTACAATTGATTCGAATGAAAATATTTAATTCCTTTTTCAAATCGACTTTCTAACGTTATATTACATTTCAAGGATTTATATATATATACGTATTTCAAGCAAGCAAAGTATAACGAAATATGAAAGATAATAGATACAATCATGTAGACGTTTGCGTAGCTGACAATGAGACTATCAATGTGAATCGCACTACGAGCATAAGAGGATATTCGTGCGACTGAACTCAAGCCGGAAACGAGTCCGGTCGTGCCTCGATGATATCCGGAAACGCATATTTCTTTTTCTCTCTTATATTTTATTTTCATTTTTATTTTTATTTTTTTATTTTTTTTTTTTATTCTTTCTTCTCGTTCGCATTCTCTTTTTGTCTTCTTTCATTTTTTTATCTTTCCTTTTCTTGTATTTTTTTAAATCGCTTACAGGAAGCCCACTTGAAAACGTGAAAGTCCGCCCTCATATATCCACCTCCCTAAAGAGGAGTAGGGCTAGGGGTGAGGGAGGTGAGGTGGTTCCCTCGCGCGTGGTCGTTGCAATTTGTCGACGAAATTCGAAAGTGTTAACTTAATAAGGACGACGACCTTATTGTCCGATCCCAATTATGATTCGAGTAACGTCGGAACTCGTCAACTCAAAATTATTTTATACGAAAGAAACTTTTCTTTTCTTTCCCTTCGCCCCTTTCCCTCTCTCTTTGTTACCATCTTCGTGTATCTCACTTGTTATTGACTTTTCTCATGAATATTTATGCTAGGCTACGTTACACGCATGACGCATACTCTGTTTACATCTCGTAAAAAATCAATTCTCCCGTCAATTAGGTTACAGTAACAGAGTGACGAAGACGACGTTATCTTTCCTTATTACAATGTCACGAACGACACATTGATCATTTTTTCTATCTTGAAAAAGGCAATATTTACTCTTTTAACACTAGACTCACGAATTGATGTAAGCCAATTTGACTCATTTGTTTGCTATATACATATGTATATCAAACTTAAATATTGTTTTTTTAAAACATATATTGGCTTTTAATGTTATAACAAAATATTCTTATCTACTAATATCTTCATTCAAATAATATTTGTGTAAATCTTTAAAAAATATTGAACAAAATAATTCATAAATTAGTATTAATGATAAACATTTTGAATTTATTGCTAATATGTAAATTAATATTTAATTGTGGATAAACACATTGTTGAACAATGTAATGAAAAAAAAAGAAAATTTATTCTCCGCAATGAGAGAGTTTTACGGCTATGCATTAAGAAGAGTTGCACATACGCGTGTTTCAATCGTTCCAATCCCTAATTAAGGCGGTAGTTTCGATTTCATAGCACGGACCAGACTAACTATTACTCACGTAACCATCGGCCCAACACACACGAACGGTAAGCGAAACAACCTTCTAAAAGCCTCCCTCTCTCCCCCATACGAAGAAATTTTCTTCTACGTGATCATAATCCCGCCGCGAACCTTTCCGTTTCGTTCGAGTTACCAAGCGACCAAATTTTGCAACTAGTCGATATAATATAATATAAGTACGACGTGTGTATATTATTATATTTACATGTTTTTTAAAAAGAAAACATACAAAATCGCTATAMATAAAAAAAAAATAAATACAAGTATATATGGATCGTTTACTTTGAAAATGGTGCAAATCAATTGTTCGTTGTTTCGAGATAATTAAAAGTTTACATATATGTCAATTAAAAAAAATTATATGAGCCGCTTTTATTTTGAAAGTGGTCTACCTCCATTTATGTTCGAATCGAAATATTGAAGGGTTTGCGTTTCAATGCAATGAAAAATATACGTACAAAACACTAACGAGTTATACTGCTTAAAGTAGTGGCAATTATTAAGTAAATAATATGCGTTTTCTAACCACGAATAGAGTTAGGCCATTGTCAATATCAACAATTTGATTTGTTATAAAATTTCGAAGGGACTTAACTCCATTCAACATAATTTAAGATGCTTCAAATAGAAAAAAACAATACTCAATTTATTGTACATATCTTTAAAACATTTCAGAAAAATAATTTATGCGTTTCAAAAATTACAAATATAACCTACAAAACAATTTACTACTCATCTACATTTTGTGTGTGTGAAGGGGATTTGAAGAAATCATGATGTTCCGGTGATATATATCGTAATGAGCCAATTATGTCTATGAATTTTGCAGTTGTAATTTGTCTGATATTTTATATAGTGATATCAATACAATATTTTCAAACATTTTTGATCTACCCCGACATAGTAATAAATTCAGGATTTTAAAATTTTCATTCTCATTCATTGATGTCTTATAGAAAATTTGATACGGTTTATTTCTGACAAAACGCATCCAACATATTTTTAACCAGTTTATTGATTCTTCATCAAAATTCTTGACCCTTTTCAAAATTGCGTCTTCTAATAATTTTGTTACTACCAAATCTTTTTATCTCATTTTATTTACAATAAATTATTATCATATTTACTCGGAATATAAGCAACCTCAAATGCTTTATTAATACATTACATAAAGTTGTACAATAACCAGGTGCAATCGGAAAATAATAAATGACGAATGGAGATAAGCCACTTTCAAAATAAACTTTTCATCATTCTGTTAATCGGCAAATTTTCTTGTCACAATATCTTCATGATTTTAAATATATTTGTATCAAATTGCTTCAAAAAGAAAAGATCATGTAAAAATGTAACTATTACGGTAGCTATCTCGATTTTTTTGCAAAATGGAGTTAGGCCACTTTCAAAATAAGCGTCATAATTATGTCAAGTTTTGCAATGTTTCTATTTTGATTCTATTAATTTATCAATATATAATTTGATTATATAAATTTATTTTAGACTTAATTTAATTAAAATAATATATATATATTTTATTTTTATATTAAATATATATATTTATAATAAACGTTCCATATATTATTAATCCGTAAAAAAAAACATTTTAATTATTATAATCGATCGAATCGATATAAATCCATTAACGTTAAGAAAAGAAAAGAAAGAAAAAAAGAAAAGAAAAGATCGCATTACGTGAGTTGGATTACAGAAAGATCGTTTTTTTTTATCATCATTCGATCTGTTCTTAAAGAGATCAAAGGAATTCGACTATAAGAAACGAGAACACTTTTATTCAAGCCAAGAGAGGATCGAGAACAACTACTATTTTGTAAGAAGTAAGAGAGATCGTTGAAGTTACATTGAATTTTCACCGTAAGAATCTTTCTCTATCTATTTATCTGTCTGTCTCTTTTTTTCATCGACGTGTGTTGAGATGCGCAAAATTGCATGATAACCGCGAGCGTGTACTTTTGAAAGCGCGACCAACGAGTTTTCACCGTAAATTCCTTCCTCCATCGACCAAGTCTACCCCCTTACTTCCCTTCTCTTCACCTTCTTCTTTTTTTTTTTAACCATTACCATCAAAATCGAGCAACTAAAATCGAAAGTTGTGTGTACACACACGCGTTAGCGTTCCAACATATATTTTTTCTTTTTTTTACGTTTTCGTGAAAGAAAATGACTGAATTGGTAGTTAAACGAATGAAACTAACTACGGTATATAGAGATGCATGGGGTGCATCGACGCGTAAAAAAAACGCACGTCGTGCACTCACCTTATGCACACGCGCGTGCACACGCACGCACGTATGCACGCACACAAGTTACAATTAACAGTACGTTTAATTAGCCGAGCCGATAGTTTCGAAGCTTACAAATTCCGCTAGGTGAAAGCCAAGCAAAATTCTATCGTTCTTGAGGTTTGTTCTTATTTATTCTTTTTTTTTCTTTCTCTTTCTTTCTTTTTCTTTCATATACTTATATAGAAAGATTTTTTTTTTTCTTTTTAGATAAAATCACATCGAAAAGAATTTATTAAAGAAAATTGTTGAGAATAAATTTTAAAAATCTATGTGTAATTTCAAGCCTGAGTACGTACTAATCGACGTGAATAATCAGAACGAATAAACATTTCTTTTTTTTTTCTATCTTATCTCTCTTCCTAGTAGTAATTTCATTTTTCTAATTGTAAATATGTATGTTTATTACACGATAGATCATTTATCACGTTACAGATATTTTCCATCAAGCCGAGTCTACTGAGAAACTTTTGTACACCGCAAAATTTGGCAATGTGGTTGCCACTCGTTAAGGATACACTTTTACCTGTTTTCTTGGCGATCTTCGATAAAATGTTCTGTCGTTACGTTGCCAAAGTTTACACGAAACAAGATCATGCGAGAAGACTCTCACACGGTATGGGGTTCTTTTATTTTTTTTTTCATTTTATATTTAAACAAAAAATTATAACTGTGTTACCATTTATATATCGTGAAAGTAGTAATTGTTCGCAGACAATATTTACTTACGTGGATTACCTTGTTAATGTTGAATTCATTTTTATGTTGTTTCTGTAATATTTGTTTATTATATCGAACCCTTTTACTTTACGAGCAAAAATTTACGTTGCTCTAAGCATAAACACTGTACTGTATTCTTTTTAATTATCATAAACTCATGAACATATATTATATTAGTAGTGTTATCAAAATAATTTTGAATTAATATTTTCTATAGTTGTGGGTCGAAAAATTTGTTTGTTCAAATTTCTACGAATCATCAAATTCAATATTACGAAAATCATACTTTGAGAAGCATTGAAATAGATAAAGGTAGTAGTATGATATATAATATTTATTTATTAGTCTATATTTTAAAAATAATTTTTGCAATGATGAATTTATCTAAGGGAAACGATTCTAATAAAACTATCCGTAATATGTTTACACGTTTCATTAAATAGAAAGAAAATATATAAGATGAACGTTTCTCTCTTGGTATAAGAGTTTCGTAACATAAGAGTTCCTACGACAAAACAGATGGTTTCCATCCATTTCTTTTAAAAAAACATGTTAAGCTCGAGCTCTCGCGTGGGAAAGGCGTGTAACTCTTATACTCCGTTCGTAATAAACGTCGTCTACGTGAAACACTATTTCTTTTGACTTTTCTCATCTGAATGATGTGATTCTTTGACTGAGTGATCTTTGATTGAAAAAAAAATATGAAAAAAATAGGACAAAAAAATATTATAATATTGTTATAATTCAATATTTTCTTATTTAGGTGGTGTTGACGGAAAGTTTCGACACTTTGAACACGACGCGGAATACAAATTACAATTGAACCTAAATCACGGTTTGAAATTTCCCTTGACAAACGGAAGTCTTTATGGGAGATTGCACAATCATCAAAATAGAGGTAAGATTATATTATTGAGAATAAAATGTTCAAATATTGAGACATTCTAATGTTTCTTTCTTTTTTTATTTCTTATTTTTTTAATATGAATTGAATCAATGTCGAATATAAAATTAATTTTATAATAATTTGTTCGAAAAGTAATTTAATGAATCATTAGTAAAAATATTGTTTAACTTCGTTTAAAAGTGATACGAACGTTATATGAAAAACTATGCATACATTTCCATAATATAACTACATTAATATGAAAATGAATTATCAGAATATTACGTACGTTTCATATTCCAGCCTTGAAAGTCATTCCTCGTATGCACGCGCAATAAGAAACCATACTAGAGGTCTCATTTAAAAAACGCGATTAAAAATGAAAAGTTTACTCGCGAATAATAATTTTCCTTTAATTATTATAACGCGAAAAAAAATTGAACGAATTGACGATGTGGTCTGGTTAATCGAAAAATTTTCCAAAGTAAAACGAGAAAATCCTTTTTCTTTTATTTTCTTTTCGTCAGTTTTTTTTAATAATACATGCATACTAAAAGTATTGTGAATTAAAGGTTGCAATTTACGTAAAAAAAAAAAAGTGCATTTGTTTCTAAGTCAATGAAAAATGCTTTCATGTTTCTCATGTGTTAATTGAACTGAGATAAATGTTGGTATTATATTAAAAAGGAAAACACATAAGTAGGACAGATGTATATTTTCTAAAATCTTCGTGTTTCTCTTACGTTGAATTTTATTTGATTTGATTTTATTTTTTTATTTTTTTCAGGAAAAACGGGAACGATAACAATGGGCGTACAACATTATCCAAGATCGCAATCCGTCAACGAGGACAGCAACTATGCTTCGCTTCCTGCAGAATTATCATCATTCACTAGTTCGACCTTCGAACCACGTCAAGAAATTCGACTTAACGAATCACCGAAGAAAAATACAATGGACGATCGTACCGATCGATCATGCAGAGTTAATGATAATTTTAACGAATTAGCTGGAAATCGTAGAAAAATCGGTAGTACAGACGTTTTCGGTCAAAATATGGAAAATTTGGTACAATTAGATGATTCCAATTCTAAAAGAAAATTTGCCAAAAGTTTAGAAGAGATATGCGAAGAACCGCAACAACGAAGACACGTTAGAAGTGTTTTGGGATTGGATAGTTTGGTAATCACTTTGGATAACGGTATGAGAGAACAACAGCAACAACAGCAATTAGCGAGAAATGCTCTTAAAAGGAATCAGAGTTTCGATCATGCGAGGTAATCATTTGTTTCAATTTGTATTTAAATAGATTGATTGTTATGAAAGAAGTTAAATCAATTAAGATATTAAAATAGTTGATTATTTTTTGTAATAATTCAATCATTTAAATGAATTCTTTTTTAGACTTAAATATATCTACTTATCGTTTTGTGTAGGAAAATATCATTTTAGAATAATTCAAACGTACAAATTTATATTATAAGAACCATTTACAAAATCACAAATATTGTTTTCACTCTGGAATTTCTTTAAGTTTCATTAATATAATAAATTGGAATGAATCGTTAGATTGCTTTCACATTCGATAAAGTACCATTTTTGGTAACTTACATTAAATCATTCAATTCAATTCGATATTACCTACTTTCGGTGTATATAAGGATACTCTAAAAATGGCGAAGTAAGTGTCGGTCTGATTTTAATGCGTTAGATTAAACGCACTTACACGTAATCGTATCTAATATTCGTAGTCTTATAGAAAAAAGCTGCTTCACCAATTATGGATGTTTAACAATATTAAATTTATGTGTATGTATCTAAGACAAGTGAAAGCAAAGTAAGTAATTCGAATCGTGACTATCCTCAGTTTATTTCTCCTTTAACGTTTTGCACGGTGGTAGCAAGTAGAATAATTGTTCGATTTCTTGATTATCAAAAGTTAATGGAATCTGCTTTCACCCGACATTTATGTTCCATTTACTTTTTGATCTTTCCTTCTTACACTAATAACTATAAACCGGATTAATAGAATTAAATAAGGGAAGAAAAAGAGAGAAAAATATCGCATATACAAGGTGTCTCCGATATTTTTTCTAACGAAACGATATCAACGTATTGTTGAATTAAAACGAAATATAAGATTTAAATAACCTATGTTCGTATAACATTTTTTTTAAATTTTGTACATCGAATACTTTGACACCGTTTTATAGTTGGAAAAAAATCTCAGACACTCTGGTACAAAATACATTTGATCATTTTTTGTTTTGTTTAGGTATCATCGACCCATTCTCGATACAAGAACTTACGATTTAAAGAAAGATGAGCACAGAAGGGAACAACAAAGTATTCATCAGAGACAAAATAGTCAAGAACTTGGAGATGGTTACGAGACGTCCGATGACGAAAGCTGCGATTTAGAGAACGGAGACTTCGACACTATGAGTTCCTGTAGGAGCAGGAGTAGGAGTTGTTGCTCCGTTACAACGGTTGCTAACGACGACTTTGAGTACTTTCAACGTAAGGGGACCAAGGTAATTCTTTTACGATCTCGGCATTCTTTTCCAGCTCCATAATCTTTAACTTGTTATCATAATTTTTACTTATTTTGTATACGCACATGTATATCCCTTTTAATTATGCGAAAAATACCAACCAATTCGTTGCAGTTTTGTAAGATCTGAGAAAAGCAAGAATACTATTAATCTTTTGTCGTAAATAATTATTGCAAAATTTAAACTCTAGGAATTTTATGGAGAAATAAAGGAAGAATAAATTATTGACAAATTTGTTTAAATGTTTATTCAAAATTCTACTATGTATTTATTTCAAATTATTAGAATAATTAGAAATAATTATCACTCTTAAATATTATAAGACAACGGCAAAATTACAAATAAATTTTCAGTTGTTAATAAACGTATCGAAAATATTAAGAATTATGATACTTTTTCACAAATGTAACAATTATATATCATTGTTAAACGCTAGAAGGAATATACATCTAATAAATATATATATATATAAAGTTGTCAATCTCGAATAGCTCTAATTAACAAATTTTTCCTTATTTTACTCGAAAATAAAACAAAAATTTATTTAACTAAAAGAATCCTGTTTACTCTTAGGAAATTAGAATTCCGCGAAGATCGTTTAGAATCGCCTGCTTGTTGTTGTTCGTTTGCCTTTCCTTTGGTTTTGGTTACGTAATCAGTAAACGTGAGAACGTCCTGTATTGCAGGTGGAGCTGTTGCCCTCGAAGCGAAGCAACGAGGTAAAGGTCAGCATGCGATCTTTCACGCCGAGGATCATAGAGAACGATACCATCGATCGGGAAGATAGAAGAATCAATAAAACTATCATCAACACCAAGCCGAGTATACAATCGTATCATTTAAAGAAAAGAATTGGACCAGGATTTTCTATGAACGATCTCGATAAATTAACCACCATCGAAAAAAAGTTTCCAAATTTGTCAATGGAAAGTTTGAAAAGTATCCTAAAAAATTCCGATGTTAGTTATTTGGACAATGGTGATATCTGCAGGCATGATATCGGGGGCTCGGCACCGGATTTTAAAAAGATCTTTGTTACAGAATTTATCTGAACGTATATAATCATTTCTAAAGTATCTTTTCTTCTCATCTATGTCCATGTCACATACTCATTTGATTTCTTTTTTTTTTAATTTATATCCAATTGAAATAATATCTTATAAGATTTTTCCAATGCCAATTATTGTTAATGAAATTTTTTTCGAGAAGTAAAGCTCTAATATATTATTTCATTTGTAAAACAAAATTTTGATAAATTCGATTTGACGTGTTCATTCTTAAATCGAATTAATCGTGACTAATAGAATATTTATTATCTAAACAAATGAAACAGATTATTTCAATGGCAGAAAGCCAAAATTCGTATATAAGAAACTTTGTTTATACATATGAATGTTATACGTATAGAATCATGCAATATATATATATATATATGCGCGCTATGTAAAAATATTGTAAAATATGTTCGAGTGTATTTTGTGACTTCACGTAAGAAAGTTGCTGGTAATAGGTCAACATGACGTACGATAATATCGCATAGAATTTATCTTGTATATAGCTTGTACATTTTTAATTATTAATATTTAACGCTATAAATATGTAAAACACGCGCTTTATAAATTGGCGCGTAGGTGTTCATTCGATTAGGTCGTAGAGAACGATCATGTTTTTTTTTTGTAATATAATTGCGAATAAAAATTCTCTAATTGGGATTTAGCACGATTTTATTTTGTACAGAAGGTAAAAACAAAACAAAAAGGAAAAGATTTATATCGATAAACGCGATAAAACTATGTTACATTTATTCGAGTTGTTAGAAAGTATAGCGATTTAATGTTATATACGTTTAAAAAAAATATATGAATATATTCTCACATTCAACAACATATATGTGTTCAAACTGTAACAAATGTTTTCTATAATGTTGGCATATGTGGTAGAACGACGTGAAAAAGGTCATTCATCGATGAAATGAATAGAAAACTTGCAGAAACCAGCGGAATTTTAGAATCACACAATTTGTTCATATTTAAAGTATTTAAATTAAATGCTTTTGGGTCATATGGAAAATAAAATTCATATAATGAAAACGTAATGAGGAATAGCAGCAAAATAAAATGTTGAAATAATTTTTTTTTAAATCTATTTATACAACGTCATATTTTTTTACAGATTTATTTATATTTGGTCCATGACTACCAAATTACACAACATAACAACATATTATTAAAATCGTACATGTAAAAGCGGGTCACGTAGCGTTTAATGTTAATGTAAACATCTTAAAAATTATTTTGTATTTTAAATGCAAATAGAATACAATTCTTTGGTAAAAAAAATTTATCCAGACAACTGCATGACATTTTGTCGACATTCAACGAGTGATAAAAATCTATCCTAATCTATTACATCCTGTGTCACGAGTATTTTTCTCGAGATATTTATCGTTTGTAATTAATTAAACGCGCACGTTTTTATTTTTTTTTTTGTAACAGCAATTAATGCCAATACAAAATGATAATCTTAAATACATAATATCTTTCTCTTTATACTAAAGAATTTAATTTTATTGCATGGTCTACTTGACTAGAAGTGCAACAACATTTGGTAGAAATACAACAAAATAAACAATGCATCCGACAAATATATACAAATATAAAGAAAATATTAATTGCTACTGCAAAAAAATTGGTCCGCTATTTATAAATATTACAAAGAAACGTTTTTGGTTTAGTCACATACGTCAGAGACTTTCTTCTACTCATTTATACTAATCACGAGTATTATTCGTGTTGCAGATCTTTCACTAAACAACTATTAACTTATATATTCTTTGGATTTTATAATATACGAGCATAATACAATCATTTAATATCAGTTTGGGTGGTAGCAATAATAAAAAAAATCTTTACTAGTCTTTTGTATCTTAAGTAACGCTATATGATAAATTTGAAAACGTCAAAATTGACTTTGGTCAGATGAGAATGATTCATCAGAGGATGAAAGTGACAAAGATGGTGATTCTAGTGGTAATACTTTGTTTTCAGAAATACTTAGTGCTAAAAAATAATGACTGAATAATTCGAGGATAAGTTATTAAATCTAAATGAGTGTTGCAATAATAAATATTACGAAAACGAAGATGTAGAAGAAGATGAATAGGATGAAGAAGGTCGCGAATATTTTTCTTGTGATTGAGTATCATTATTATAAAATAAATCTTCTCCGCGAAAAGTTGATTCGATGATGGTCTGCATGTTGCACTTTTGCCCGTTAGCCTTGAAAACTGATAAAAGCCATTCCAATCTGGACCATGCCATAGGAGATTGATGATCTTTATGCTGCGAACTTTTAGCCAAACTATTATCCCATTGTCTTGACCCATTCTTGTCCCTTATTATAGGCATAGGAATAAATTCTGGATTATCTAAATCTGGAATCATCTGAAAAAAAAAAATAGAATATAGAAATATCTTTTAATAATCTTTTTTATCTTGAAATTGGATTAGTTACATGTTAAGAAAGAATAGAATTGTGGAAGATCGATTAAAATGATAGAAAGTTATGTCATCATGTTGAAATAGGGATAAACTGATGTTTGTAGGACGTGTAATGCAAGCCTAAAACTCTCTCCTTGTCTGAAATCAATACTCGAAGAGCATTACACTGTTACTAAGGATTCTCAATCCCCCTCGGATTACCAGATTCACCGTCACCCCCGTGCGAACAAATGAGAGAAACAAAGAGAGAGAGAGAGAGAGAGAGAGAGAGAGAAAGACAAAAAGAAAAAGAGATAGAATGAGAGAAAGGGGGAAACAAAAAGGTAGGGAGAAAACGAGCCAATGCGACTAAACGTATAACCAGAGTTCAACGATCAATGAGAGAGGGAGGTTTGTTCGTTGGTAAAACGACGCCTTAACTACGATGTCCCAATGGAAAACCTCTTTCTGTTTCTGCTTTACTGATGGTGAAACAAAAGAGAAATTGAAAGAAAAAGAAAATAAATAGATAGATGGAGATAGAAAGAAAGAAAATTTACTGGTTTCTTATCTTGGTAAGGTGGGAATGACATTATGCAGCCGGATTATAATTAATTTCTGATCGAGAAACAATAATATATATGTTTTTAATGTAAGACAAATATACTTTGGGATAGGGTTTTTTTCAAACTCTTTAACTCTTCTTTCTCAATCGAATTGTTTTTTATTTTCTCTATTAGAAATATTATTACTTTCTTCTTGTCTTTAAAGGAAACAAAATTAAAATATTCAAACTGAATTAGATAAAACAATGAGAATATGAATATTAGAAGCGTATACTTTGAATTATATAAATTCTCCTAACTTCACGGGAATTATGTAACTAGTTAGATTCATTTTTGTTTCAATGCACTTACAATTATAGTTACTTTCTAATAGAGTTTCTCTAGTGTAAGCGTAGCTTTAAAACGAACAAAAGATGTTCGTCCAACGACGAATGAAAATCACAGTAAGACTTAACAAAAGTTTAATGGTAATTATAAATGACAAAAGGGGAAATCAGAAATATTAAATGCTTCAAATGAAATTTAATTATAACAAAAATCGAAATTTCCAGAAATAAAATAATTCCGTGAAAAATATTTATTTGCAATCGAACATATATTGCCTGACAATAGAAATAAAAGAAAGGGATTCGATAGATTTATTGGATTTTTATTTTCCAATAGATAAGAATTTATCAACAGAGAGATCCAATATCGATGAGAATAAAAGATAAAAAAAATATAAAGTAGAGAGAGAGGGAGAGAGAGAGTGAGAGAAAGAAAACAAAAGAAATAGAGAACAAAAATTATATTTGATCTTTCATTGTTTCACCCTCTAACACTCTGTAACTTTAATTGAAAATACTTCTTTTTATATAAAAATTGCATATAGCTCGTCTATTGAGAAAAATAGATGACGTAATTTCATTGACGATTAATTAAAAAAGAAAAAGAAAATATTAACAAAATGATTGTTTCAATAAAAACGTGTCAAATGTGTCAAAAAAATGTGTCAAATTATCGGATATATATCTTACCTTAATAGTGAGAAATTATTGGTATAATTTGACTCCTTATCAATAGACCTCGTTCGCAAAGGTCAAGGTCGTCCGATCGACGTCTGAGAAACCAACTCGAGGGAACCCGTAGCTTGAGCTTTATCTCGAAGGCACGGTCCAAGAGAAACTGAAGAAGGGAAGTAAAGCCGGCAGAAAACATCAGCTGGCTTGTGGCAGCGCTCGCTCGAAGGGAGCTTTTCTCTCTCACACAAATATACAAATAATGCACATACGTGCAAATATACACACGCATACACGTGCACACAACGCTCTTTCCCTTTCCTTCTCTTCTCTTCCCTTTCCTTTCCCTTTTCGATACTCTACCTTCTCATATAAACTTTGCTATAACCGAAGAAGGAACCCACATATGTTGGTCACGTGGAAGAGAAAGAGAAGGGGAAAACTTTTGGAGAGAGACAACACACACGCGTTATATCGTTGCACTCAGGGGGTGGAGGGGGGAGTCCTCCACCTCTTTCCTTTTCACCCTCCTAGTCAACCAACAACAACACCACTTCCGGCTTCCGGTTAGTTACAACCCGTTAGCTACTAACCGCTCACGTGCCACTGATTTTTAATCCTATGTAAAATCTTATTTCTTCTACACGTTATAAAGAAATAAATTTCACGAATTTTAATTATTACTTTTTTTTAACCTTTTTAAATATCCTTTACACTTATTTCGATTCAAAAAATCACAATTGTATTCGTTAACGAACTAACGCTATTGTTCACTAAGCACGTTGTAATACAAAAGGGGCTTATACTCGTATCAAATTCTGCACAAATTAAAAATTTCACGTGAGTTTATAATAATGTAGGCGCACAAATTTAGCATTGAAATTAGAAATACAAATTTTGATATTAACGAAATATATTTTTTTAGAAAAGAAATGACCGTACGCCCGCTACGTATAAACCAGAATGAATACCTTTTCCTAGCCTTCCTACTGTGTAGGATGCTATAAGGTCCTGTTTCCAATTTTTAAGGATTTCCTATAAGATTTCCTTTATTTATTTTTCTCGAATGTTCCTAGTATACCTGAAATGTCCATTCCCTTAAGATTTCTTTTCTTTATTTTTCTCAAATGTTCCTAGTTTATCTGAAATGTCCAATCCTGTTGAAACTTCACTAAAGTCATAGTGTTTTTTTTTTATTTGTCTTTTTCAAATGTTCGATACCAAATTTGTATTCACATAATCTTGTAAATCTTGAAATAAGTATTTCTAAATCTTCGCATTTTAGACTCACGATTTTTTAAAAGTATTATAAGTATCTAGATTTTATCATGGTAAATAAAGATCTTTTATTTTTACATAACATAATATAAATAACTATATTTAGGTTGGTATATTTAAGTATATTAGGGTTGCTAGGTTTCTAAAAATATTTTATTTTATATGCGAATCTGTGTTATATTTAACGAAAAAAAAACCAATACAACAAAAGAAAGGAATTTAATTTTAAAAATTAAATAAATTTATACTAATAAAAATTGTATTATACGATATTAGAAATTATAAGGGTATCCTTTTATTGTAAAGAATATTGTGTAGAAATATGATTGAACGTTATTTAAAAAGATATTAGGAAAGACCAATGAAGAGGTGTCTCGTGAAGAGTAATTGTCAACGATATAGGGGCTGATGACGGTCCATTGTACGGTGGATGTTGAGGGAATCGAATAAATTGCTTAAATTACCACGTCCCGAGGAATATACTCGTAGATTATATGTATAGATGCAGATGTGCGATAACCGTAGTCTCAGATTCGATTAAAACTAAAACTGGACCCTAGAGTAGCCTCTCCTCGAGGACGCGCGACGATATTTCTTATCTTTTTTTCTCGAATAAAAAATAAATGAAATATTGGATAATTTTATATAGTGTTCACGATCAATTTTAACACGCGATGATATAAGTTTATTATTATTAAAAACAAGATCATATAAATAGAGGGAAAACCTGTATCCGATGATCGAGATCGCTAAATATTAATATTGCATATGAAATAAGAAAAATAAAAAATAAAAAAAAAAGAACAGAAAAAGAAGAAAGGATAATAATAATATCGTCATAATTCGTCGTTAAACGTCGTCGTTGTCGTTTAAACCACTACGAATGGAACCAACGAAAAAAAAAATTAAAAAAAAAGATCGGGAGACAAGATAGTAAATTATACATTTTCTACGAAGAGAGCGTTTTTTAGAGTGCAATCGTTACAACGTTGTAAGAAAGAAGAAAGAAACACAAGCTGCAAGTAGTCGAGCAAGAAACGTCATGTATCCGACAGCTGGCTACAGCATGTCGTGCAACAAAAAGCACGGAGATATTAAATAAGAAACATTAAAAAAAAACATTAAAAAAAAAAACAAGAAAACAAAAAATAAAACAAAAGAAAAGAAACGACTAAAGGAAACTTTAAATTATTATTTTATTAAATAAAAGAAAAAAATGCAGATACGAGTATCATCGCATCATTAATGATATAGAAAAAAAGAAAAAAAAGAAACCATTTTACGATATCCGTTAGAGGGAACATTTTTTCTTGTTATTCCATTCAGAGATTAATGAAATGCGATAATCCCGTTATAATTATTAATAATTAACTCGTCTATATGATAATGAAAAAATAATAGGTTGTGAATAAAACACAGAATAAAAGACAAACTAAAAGGAGAAGTTAATTTTCGTCTACCTTAGAGAATTCGTCAGCTGTGCCCATTTTTAATGTCCAATCGCGGTGTGCTGCTGTTATATGGGATAGGGCGCGTGCACCATAAAGACACACGACAACGTGCTTCTCTTACAGCTGCCGGAAGTATACATCTGCCAGGATTCTCTACTAACCGTACGTTTCAGATCAGCCTACCTTCCTTCTCGTTCGTTTGCCAAAAATCTACGAAAATCTATCAAAATAATAGAAAAACAAAGCAAGCGTACGAGAATGTTAGAAAAAGAGCTAAGAAAGAGTTTATAGGGAAGAAGAATCCACAGTTTTATTATGGGAGGGGGGACATATATATATAATAAATAAATAAGAAAAAGAGTAAGAATAAATGTTTGGATAACAAAAGTAACGATACATTTAGATAATAACCGTAAAAGAATAATCAACAAGGAAAGAGAAAAAGAAAGTAAAGAAAATGGATCAGCGAGTCTGTCAGTTTTCGTGGCAAAAGGTGGTGCACCTCCACCACATCTTTGAAAGAAAATAATGAAAGAAAAGAGAAAGAATGGTAAAGATGGTCTTTCCTTTTATTTTTGAAAAACATCAACAGCTGCCCGGAAGAAAGAAGAGGACGGATCTTACTTAGATTAAAAAAATAAAAAGCTCGTGCCAAAGAACACCTTTGCTTCTTGCTACCCCGGGACTCGTGCCTTTATTGATGACGGTTACAAGTCATTTAATTTTCTTTTAATATGTTAAATCGATTGTACAAAGGTAGGAGATGTATTCGTCCATATATATTTTAATTGAAAAATTAAATAAAAAATAAAAAACCAGTAATAAGGTTGATAACAAAAAAGAAAAAAGATTGAATTCTTAAAAAGGGAATTATTCAAGGAACGAAAAGTTGATTTTCCGATCGAACTAATGGCCGGTATTTGATATCGAATAATAGATTGAGAAAGATGGTAGGGAGAAAAGTAAGTCTGAGAGAATCCTCTCATAACCCTTTTTTCGTATTATCACCCCCGCAGCTGACGAAGCGTCGGCGGTTTACCACCTGACGATTCGACCAGGACAGCTGTTCGCTTCCCTTCTGCATCGGTCAACCACCCGTCCACTTCCCTTGGCCCTTCTTATTACTCTTCTGAAACTTGGTTGAACACAGCTCGGTATATTAAAAAAAGAGACCTTCGGGAACGTTGCTAGAGAGGAAAAAACGTTCTCGTTGATCCACCAACAGACAGGATGTCCCACGATCTGCTGGAGTAGACTCTCTTCTTCCTCCTTAACTGAAAAGTTCAATTTGATCATCGAGAATTTTGGTACAAAATTCATTTTTTTGTTCCCCTTTTTTTCAAAATTTACGAAAAGTTGGTATAAAAACGTTCGAGGAAAGAGACAAGGGAGAGGGGGATGATCAAAGAAGATCAAGAAAGGTTTTTAAACGAAGTATCTTTTTAGGGGATAGGAGGAAGGGAGGTTTGGGATGCTAGGGGATTTAGCAGAACATCCTCCTCATAGGTTTCACTTGGTAACGGTGGCCACGTTGCCTACGGCTTATTTTCGCCGTACGAACGTTGAAGACAACAAAAGTACCTTGATGGAGCAGATGCATGGCATGTGCTGCTACGAGCCAACAACACCAGATGCCCTATTGGCGTAGAGGGGCAGGCAGGCCCTCCAGGCGTTCTCGCTGATAGAGGTTGCTAAGGGGGATCCTTTTCAAATTGATCGCGTGCCCGATTCAACCGAAACCACTTTCCTCACTCTTCACCTCCCCCTCATCCTTATCCTTATCCTTATCCTTATCCTCTTTCTTCTTCTCATTTTTCTTGTTCTCTTCTATGACTATTTACAACCATCATATCGATCCACCTTGAAATCCTTGGAAATATATTTCGATTATCTGGAAAGATCCTTTTGGATTGTTAATTCGTATATTTTATTTGTTATTTCGATTACCTTCTAAACGATAGAAAAAGAAATCACAAGGTGGACCATTAATCTTGTGAAGCTTGGATAACTTTGACGTAACCCTGGACAGAACACTGTTCGAAGGTTTATCCAATAAACTTAATTTTGGGTTAGTTGTGTCACAATTCATTAGCTATTTTATCGTACAACTTTTCTTTTAATTATTTTCTTTCTTTTTACTTAGGAAAAATTATAAGAACATACATATAGAAGTAATTTTGTTCTTTGATTTGACGATGCACTTACGATTAGATATTCCAATGTTTGATATTTCATTAAAATCTAATAGGGTTGCTATAACTACGATTTAAACTTTATCTATCTACGAAGAAATGTTGTATGATTTATTTTTTCTTAAATTATTAATTTAAATTTTATTATTATTTTGTTATACTACGATCGAATGGGGGAATGAGATGCAACCCACGAAGACCATACCAAAATCCGCCTCGAAAGGAAATAAATGAACGAATAGATGAATTAACTTAGCTCTCGTTTATTTTTAGTGGTCAATGTTATCTACAATGATTTATTGTAAAAGTAACAATAGTCGTGTATAAGTTAAAACGATATATCATACATATGTACAGATATGCCTATGTTACGATCATCACTATGATCCATCTCGTAAAAACTTTCATAGGCTTTTTTCTCGTAATTTACGTGATTGATCGTAGGTAGAAAAAGAATTTGAATTTTTTCTTTTTTTTTCCCCAGAGCGAATGATAAACGATCGAAAGGCTTGAAGTAGCGTCGATCCTAAATCATTCGCGATGATATCTGCAAATTCTTTTCATTGATTTCATCTCACCAAATCGATCCATTTTGTTTTCTATAATGAATTTGATTCATCGTATACGAGGAACGATGATCGTCTTGTATATTATTGTTTCTAATTAATAATTTATCGATTGATTATTAATAGAAATAATTTACATACTATCTATGATATCCCGTTCGTCGTTACACAAATAAAACTCATACGATTACGTATACGTTAATCGATGATAACATCATTTCAATCGATACGTATACGTAATATATTCTACAATAACAAAACTATATATTTTTATTTTTTCTCGAGCTCATCGATCGCGAATAAATTAATGAATAAAATAAGAAATATAATTATTCGAACGAAAATGAATGAATCTAATTATACGATATTGATATTAACGTTCATCGTTCTTTTTCATTAGACGATTTAATTAATCTAATCTCTAGTATCGGTTTATAGGTGTACGTGTATAGGTATGTTTATGTTTGTGTGTGTTTATGTATTGTTTATGTGTAATATTCGTGTGTTGTATAGAAGTTTTCACTTGACTATAGGTAATCCTAATAATTTGTTCTATGTTTAATTAATTCCAATCTATCAGACGTTTATCTACGATTCGCCACGACTAATGTCACTTCTTTGATTTGCTTAGTTTACCGAATACGAAAGTTTCCTCATCAAACTTTCCGATGAGTTAAACTCATGTCTCTCATCTAATATCAGCATTCTAACTTTGTCACTTATAGAATCTCCAAACTCTTCGATCGATTATATTGACATTCGTATTGACGTTCGTTAGAAAGTTAAACCAATAATTAACTCATTCAAATATGAAACGGTAATGAGAATAACGAATATAATATACAATCATCGATGAAAAATCATATATTTGTTGTAAATAATTCAACCCATAATTGATTGTCTGTTCGCTAGTTTAAAGTATTATTAACCAATTATGATACTTATTAAGAAAAAGAAAAAAAAGGAACAATCAAAAAGTAATACATAAAAGAAAGGAACCAAGATAAAAAAAAAATAGAATAAAAGAGAGAGACAGGGTAGATAAAACAAATCCATACTAGGGATCCTGTAGGAGGGATGCGCCATTCATATTCAGCTCATGTGCCATTGGCTGAAAATTTTGGGGGACCGATTGAATTTATAATAATTTTTTCGTGTAACCTATTCTATTTTAATATAAATTTTTAATTATCATTAAATATAGTTCATTTTTTTTCTGTATTTGATGCAATTCATTATTTCATAATTATTTCAATGTTTGAATCATTCGCGTGCAAAATCGAGTTCCGGTCTCCCAGCAATGTACATGGCGCATCCCTCCTATAGGATCCCTAATCCATACATAACTTTAGCGTCACATCCAATTATTCGAAGAAGAAACAACAAACAAATGATATTCTCTTAATAATTAAAATACGCCAAAGGATTTACAAAAAAAAACAACTCATCTTCTAACCTTCGTTTTATCAAAAGCGTATTTAGCAGCTCCTGTCCGCGCGTTGATCCATTCATCCGACAGGGCCGATTTATAAGCGTATTCCATTTTGAGTTGACGATGAAAACTGCATTGCATTGCATTGCATACACGATACAAAATGCAGCAAAGACGATAGATAGGACGTGATGTCGTCATTAAGAAGAAGTCAAAAAAAAATAAATAAAACCTTCTTATCGTCGGTATCATCGATCACGGATTCGCGCACGATTATCACAATATAACTGCTTCACGGTAAATGTGAATCGGGATGACGATTCCTTTGCAACTCGTTAAACTCGTTTATGCTGTGTACTGCGCGAATACCCGTCCTCTCTGAATCTCTAGATGATTTTTCATCGCCAGGACGGTTGGGTGATGAGCCGGTAGTCCTTCGTCTTCCACGAGATATCTCAGAGCTTCCGTGGCACAGGCATCCCATCCGGAACCCCATGATTCAGGAACGTAATCTCGATGAAGTATCATCGATCTCTCTTTCTTCTTCTTTTCTTCTTCTTCTTCCTCATCATCATCATCATCATCATCATCATCATCTTCTTCTTCATCTTCTTCTTCTTCATCTTCGTTAATTTTCGATCGACGATGATGATGGTGATGATGATGATGATGGTGATGACGATAATGATGACGATTAGATCTTTTCAAACTTTCTTTAGATTCAAATACATTGAGCTCATTCGAATGGCCTTGAAAAGAATAACCCAATGAGTATCTTCTAGTAGGAACGAATTGTTCCTGAGCATTATTAAAAGGATCACCATTAAATTGACTGTCTAGCGTTTTTAAATCAATCTGATTTCGAAAACGATTTGGTCCAAGGTAACTAGTATCTTGCACTATTTCCATCGTTTGATCCCTATCGTCGAATGGTACTCCTCGTCCTTGAGTTAATATCCTTGTAGGACCTGGATCGTGTTTCTGTTGTGAATATTTCAATTCTTGTGCCAACGAGGCTGCCAATTGATGAAGTAACCTCGTATTTTCTGGCCGATCGTCGTCCTCTTCATCTTCAACGTCTACTTCGACACCCTCGTCTTCAGATGAGGATAAAAGATCTTCGTTTTCGTCGTCTACACCCAATAACGTCAGTAATCTCTCGGCAGCATCTACGTTATCAGAAAAAAAAGAAATGATAATTCATTAAATTTATTCATAAAAACGATATATCATTAGGCCATTAAGTATTAAATATTCGATTACGAATTGATACTTAATGTTACATTCTTAATGATCCAATACAATAATTATTTTATAACGTCAATTGATTTAATTATCTCTCGTTGAATTATCTATTCAGGTTTAGCAATGAATAATTCGGCGTCTTTATTGTGTTATAAATCGTGCTATAAACTGCATAATGAATTGCTTTTGTAAAATTTACTTTGAAAATATTAATTAAAAAAGCTCCTTTGGTTCATCCTAATATATTAAATCCATTGTCATTTTTCTTTCTTCAATTGCTTGAATATTAATGTTATAAAAAATGAAAAAAATTATTTCGAATAATAACAGACGTATAAAATAAATATTAAAATTTATTTTAAAAAAATTAACCAAAAAAAAAAGAATCGAATTATTGGTTAAACCTAATATTTAGATTAAGAAGATCGAAGAATCAAAGGGAAATCGTTATGAAAGAATAATGACGAAATTTAGGACTAGAAGACCCGGTTTCAAGATCCTGTGGGAATTCTGCTCCACAAACGTTCCATGGGAACTACCTGTCGCGATCCACCCCGCCGTTCTCGTCCTAAGAAATCCATCGGATTTCGCACGAGTCTCCCTCCCCCCTCTCTCACTCTTTCTTTCTTATTCTCTTATTCTTTCTCTCTTTCTCTCTCTCTTTCTCACTCTCACTATCACACGAATAAAATTCGTGTACGTACACGAGGTACTTTGTTCGCACACCATCGTGAGAGTGTAAAGGGTCGACAAACGAGGGTTAAAGTTCGGGGATTGAGCCCGTTCCTGGGAACAGAAAAGGGGGACCTTGATCATCGTCCATGGGGGGTGGAAGTCGATCGAGTTATTTGGACCTGACTCCTCTCAGACACAAGACGAACCTAACGAAGTCGTCGTCTACTATTTTCCTTTCAAAGAACATGGGAACGAGTAACTCTCGCGCGGTGATCTTTTTTAAAAAGAAACTTACTGGTCGTATCGAGCTGAACTACTTAAAAAAAAAAAAAGAGGGAGAAAAAAGGGGATAAAATTACGAGAATTTTTTTAAACGACAAATAGAACACAAAGAATTTTTTATCAAATAAACCAAATAATTATTCATTTTATATTGGTAGCTCTTTTTTATTTATACTTTATTTCTTCTTTTTTTTTCTTTTGAAGAAGGAGGGGGGTTTCTCGTTGGATCAAATTTGAATAATTTTGTTTTTCCTCTTTGGGTGGTGGTTCGTTACGATCATCAAATCCGTTTCCATCTCTCTTTCTCTTAATTCTTTTTCGTCCCTCTTTCTTTTTTTTTATTATAAGGATTGTCTGGACCAGCCAGAAACGAGTTCATTGTTTTTTTCTCTAAACCCCCTACCACCACCCTCCTACCACTCTTTCTATCTTTCTTTCTTTCTTTTTTTTTTTACCCCCTCAATGAATGAAACGTTCAAAAGACGCCAATTCGACTCGTCCTGCCGGACGTTCCCACAGGGATATCGAGATTTAAATGTCTCTCCAATCTTTTATACCATTCGCAAAGAAACGAAGAGACTGGATTCCGTTTTAAGTTGAGTAAATTACATTTAAAAAGGGAAGAAAGAAAAAAGAAAAAATATGATTTCATTTTTTTTCCTTTTTTTATTGGCTTTAATTTTGTTTCTTTCCATTCGATCAAATTTTTAAGTTTTTATTTTTTATTTTTTGCAATAATACGAGAAATAAAAATAAAAAAGAAGAGATAAAGTGATAAAAATGATATTAAATCAAGATTGAATCGCATACTCGATCAAGATCAATATAAGAATCATTCGAAAATTGCAAATCACGAGTAAGGATGTATTGAACGAACGCGGAATTCGATTTTTCTGAATGAATAATGGAACGGTACATGAATAATAAATAAGAAATCGTTTTGAAAGTTAGTTTATTCGATGTCGAGGATGAACAAACGAATGAACGAACGCATGAACCAACCACAACCAAAGAAGATTCTGACGAGAGTAAGAAATTTGAAAAGAAATGTTGCGAGATTCGTATTTCGCGAAATACATAAATAAGTTTATTCGATGCAATACCAACAACAACAACTATCAAAGCTGTTTCCTGGCTACCGTATAAAGCAACAGTAAGAAAAAGAGAGAGGGGGTGTGGAGAAAGAAGGGGGACATGAGTAAAAGCACCTTCAGTATTGGCCTCAACGATAACTTTGGATCGGCCATTAGCATACAAAGTTAATATTTCAAAAAGAGGTCGGCTTATTTGAACGAAAATTCTCCTTTAGTTTCTAACTTGTCGTCGTTCATTTCTATCATTTTCCTCGTTACGTAAATACACGGACTAACCAACCCTATTTTATGATTAATGTTAAAAGAAAAACTTACTAGTTGTTGTTGTTGTCTTAAAACGAATCTTACAAGAGTCTAATCATCGTCTAGCATGCATAGAAACTCATAAAGTCAAAAGAGATTTTATTGAGTTGCTTGTCGGTTGGTTCGTAATTGGATCGCAAGCGGTTTAAATTAATGTAATCTCGGTCTTTCTCATTTTATCTATCCTTGAGGCGTTCCAGGCTACGTTGCATTTGATCATAAAACAGTGTTACTATACTTGTCGTAAAGTTGTAATTTATTCAATCGTGTCGTGCGATCTCTATGAAAGTGTATAGTCGTAAGTGTATTTGTGTGTGTATCTATATATAGGTGTATACAAGAATAACAAATAAAAGGATAAAAGGTAAAATTGAAAAAAGAAAAGGGAGAAAAAGTAAAGAAAGGAAAGAAAGAAGAGAAAAGGAGAAAAAAAAGAAAATCCTTATAAATTTTGTCTACTACAATGAAAGGGGGAAAAATCAAATGACCTTTACCCTTAAAACCATTATCGAAATAACCTTGAAAAATCATTTCTCAAGATTTCTCTTTTATTATTTATAGAAGCATCAGGTAGTTTCGTTTAGGTTGTAACATCAAATATCTTTACTTTTCTCTCTGACATGACAAACATCGACAATAATAGGTTTGTAAACATTGAACAATGAGCTACAAAATGTAATAGAATATTTGTGAGAGAAAAAGTATCATTTTGTTTCATGTGAATCAATTATTCGTAAAAATATTTCTTTTTATTTTTATCACTTAAATTGGAACTCGTAAGTGTAACAACGATGAATTACAGGAATTAAAGAAAAATTGGATCGGACAAAATTATTCCATCGGACAGATATGAAAGTTTTTCTTATTTTAATAAACAGTTTTGGAGTTAATAGGGGGAAATAATATTGTTTGAGGAATGGTCCACAAAAATTGACGTAACAAATTGTCGGCGCCGTTCAATCGCAATTGCGTGATCAAAATTTATCGTATCGTGTATCGCATATCGGACGATTATATGTAAGTAGAAAGGAAAAAATGAGGCTGGCTCGAAAGGACAGAGAAAGAAAAAAAGAAAAAGAAAAGAAAAGAGTGCAATTACGTGATGATTACAGACAAGAGTAAAATTCGGGTTGCTCGGACAAAGCGTACACAAACTGGGTCGCCCAATGAAAACTGATCGATCTCTAATAAGCGAACGATCGAAACGAATAACTGTGATAAAGCCAGATGAAGTATATAGCTCGAAGGAAAAAAAAAAAAATTCGCGATCATCTCGATTGCTCCTGTTCGATTTCAATGGACTCGTTAATGTTACGTTTTCTCGTCACATTTCTTTTCAATCTTTCGTCACGTTAAAAGAAAAATATATTTTAATTCTAGGCTTGGGTTGAAAAGTATTGAAACTTGGTAAAAAAAAAACTAACCCTTATTTTTTTTTTTTTAAATAAAATTGTTTACATACATATAAATTAGACTTAAGTTCCGGTAATTATAAAAGTGAATTAAGTTAAAAATTGATTTATGTTATTATTTTAAACTGTGACTTTCAATTTAATTTGCGAGACAGACAAAAACTACTCTTCCAAGTAGCCCGATGTATTTTTCTTTTCTTTTTTTGCGACGAATTCCGCGTTCACGTCTATTTCTTTATAACGACAAAAAAAAAGTCAAGGATAATTAATTTCTGCAAAAAATTAAAATAAAAAAGAAATAACACACTCTTTAAACCTTATTAAAAATTAATTAAAAGGTTTACGCGATTGCAACGTGAACGTTAAAAATGAGTCAACTGGTTAACTAAATGTATAAACTTAGATCTATAAATAGTGAAGGAAAAAGTATAAAAAAAGAAAAAAACAAGGCAATAATTTAGCTTGCAAATAAGTCGACTGGTTGTGAATACTGATCGGATATGCGACAAAGTTGAAACGCAAAATAAATTACAAACATTTTCTTTTACATAAGATCGAGATAACACATCTCACTTGGTACGAGATAATAAACTCGTTAGAAAAAAATCTCGTTAATTATTCGATAATCTTGGTGAATGAACAAAAAAATATAGGAATGAAAATTTTGTATTTTTTGTTATTACCTCGTATGGTTCGCGAGGAATCAGCAATGTTGGTTGCCAATTCAACAAAATCTTCGAGAGCTCCGCCGCCATCCCCTCCGCAATCCATCATAGTGTCCTGGAAAAGAGAGAAAAGAACGAAAGACCATAAAACAGTAGAATCCTTAATAAAATGAAAATTTTTCTTTTAAGTATATTCAAAAATTTATTAAATATCGAAATTATACAAATTTTTATATGACAAAGTACTCGTGAAAATTTTTGAACTTCCTAAAAAAAAACCTTTAAAAATGAAAAAGTAAAAGAAATGATGAAAAAGAARAAGAAGATGAAAAAAAAGAGATAAAAAAGAAAAGAACCTTGAACGGTAATACTTTTTCCTTAACCGATTTTCTTTCACACTAACTTCCCCAAACGTTGACGGTAATGGACGAGCTTCGGCTATTGTGTCCTTCGTAAATTTCGAAAATTTATCCTCAAGACAATGGATAAAACTTGGTGGTGGGTCTTTCACGAACAAACTTTGATTCAAAAGTTCTACACACAGTGACCTACTCTCACGGGATGACGATAAACATGGAAACCAAAGAGACGTGCTACCATAATAAAGACAGAAAGATAAAAGGGCGTTTAAATTATTGTACGGCAAACTCTACGTTGGTTTTCATTGAGCTTCTGTGTATAGAAGAAAAAGATAAAAAAAACTATAAATTTTATGACATCTTGTTGTTAAAGTTTTCCTCTAACACTTTTCAAAACTTTCTCTTTGGTTTCTCATAAAGGATACTTTCCACATGTTGCAAAGTCTTATCTTTTTTTTTATACACATATTTCAGTCATAAACTAATTTTTTTTCTTTTTAATTTTCTTCCTACAATAATATCAACAATCGATGAATCATCTTTCGTTTCTTGTTTTTATATTTTTTACACTGATACAAAATCGTTAACTTCGAACGGAAATTTTTACTCAACCTGTTTGAAACATCAATTTTACCGAACGAGCTTTATTAAAGTTGAAGTTAATATTCGTGTCAAAGAAAAGCACATCTAACTATATAAGTTGGTACATACTTTTTACATACGTTTACATATATAAATCTATTTCATACAATATCTCGTATGTACGGATTATCGCTACGTAATACTCATTATTTTCTCTTTTTTTTTTGCAACGTATATATGCGTATGTATACATAAAGAAAAAAAAAAGAAAATATATGCTAATGAATTTAATAATCGATAGTTTCCCATTCGTTAAAATTTAATGCTAGGAAATAAAATTGTAACGTTTATTAGAAATAGAAATAGAAATAGAAATAGAAATAGAAATAGAAATAGAAGTAATTAGTATAAGGGATTCTTTTTTGTTTTTTTTTCTATGTACGCTTATAGATCGATTAAGAGTGTATCTAATGTTTTTTATTTATTGAAGCCCATTGGTAAAAGATACAAGGACTATAAATAGGACAACGATCGGAGAATGTTTCGAAGTATACGCGATTATAGTAGTAGAGTACTGTGTGTACGTAGCAAAAGGGACACGTTTGACCACTTCGGAGCAGTCATCTCAAGAGATCAAGTCGATATCTCGCTAACCCGTTGCCAAGCGGATGTCTTGTAAAGTGCAGAACAACGATATTTTGTATTTCTTTTGCTTTTATCAAGTTCGATTTGCACGGAATAAACAAAAAAGAAAAACAAAAAAAAACAACGAAAAGAGAAGGAAGAACGAATTTCTATTCAATCAAATTTTTACCATCAAAAAATTCGTACGAATTCTATAATTGTAAAAAGAAAAAAGTTTAGCGACTACGAGGTTAAACCACGGTCGAACGTAGAAATGCAGTTCGATGTAGCGATACATTGAACAACAACGTCGCTAGAACGCGAGATTTTCTCAAGGTCAGACGAGCCATGACGCCCAAACGAAGAAACCTGTTCTACAAGAATCGGAAAATTTTCCTTAACAATCATTGCGATCATTGCGATCGACGAGCTCGAATGGGATTTGTTAGATCTACGAATAAGATTTGTCAATTTTCGTGATTTACGAATGTTGCTAATAAATTTGAATTGAATGAATATATTATAACGATAGGAAAGAGAAATAAAATCTAGAAACGGGTATGTGGCGAGAATCAATTATAGGATTTGTATATTCGATTCGTAACATAAGCCAGCTTAATAATACGAGCTATCGAATAATAGTTGTTTGCATAAAGAAGTGTATATGGGTTGGATAGCCCACCCGCCGTCGATGACGACGACGACGGTAATAACGATCGCGAAATTACATTCAATTACTCGAGTTAATACGAGGAGGAAAGGGGTTAAAAGGCTTGCTATTTCCTCCTATAACGGAGAGAGTTAGGCACGCGTACCATGAACGAGAAAGAGACACCCGTTAATGTAATTATTCCCACTGTCGACAAAGTAACATCATCCCCCTTTAATGGAGATTTAAATCATCGAAACGAGCGGGACTATACGCTCATTCGAAAAGGACCATAAAAGAAACGGTGAATATGCAACGTTCTTGTATCTTTCTAACGAGATTAACTCTACTATTCCTTTCGGGAACAAACGAGATTAAAAGAAGGATAAAGGAATATGAAGAAAATGTAAAAAGAAGAAAATAGAAAATTAAATTGTTAATGAATACAAACAAGAAAATGGGTAAATAATTTTCAAATTATTATTATTTAAAATTCGTTTTCTTTTTTTTCCTCCTTTTTTCATTCTTTCTTTCTTTCTATCTATCTATCTATCTATCTATCTATCTATCTATCTATCTATCTATCTATCTATCTATCTATCTATCTATCTATCTATCTATTTATCTATCTATCTATTTATCTATCTATCTATCTTTTCTTATTCATCTTCTTTTTATTTTCTTTTTCTTCTTTTGTTCAACGATCGAAAACGACGCTAAGAAGAAATACGATTCTGCTTACTAAAATCGATTACAAGCAGGTGCACTGCATGTTCGAAAGAAGAAAACGAATATGGCTCTTCGAGAAAACACGACGATAGTCTTGGCTACGAGGAGTCCTCGTAAGTCAATATTATTTGCACTGAGCGCAAGATGAAAGTGATTTTTTTTTTTTTTAACAATACTTTTACATCCATTTACAAATGTATATATGAGTATATAATGTGTATATTTATAAATGCATATTATCAAGTCTAATGCGGTTTTTCAATAATTGTTCGAATAAACTGATCAGTAAAAGTGTACAATTTTTGTCATTTATTGTTTTTTCTCTCTCTATCTCTTTCTCACATTTTTGTAATATTCGAAATACCAGAATGCGTTAAAATAATCTTTGTATTTATTCCAAAATAAATCGATGCACTCGAGCCAAGTTCTTGCTATCTCTCTCTCTCTCTTTCTCTCTCTTTTTATGGTAATATCTATGACTGTGACGACAATTTATTGGATTGCACCGAAAACTAACGTAACGATTTTTTAAATGAAAATACAGGAAAAATAGAGAGACGGAAAAGACACTTTCCACATGTCTACCGTTGAATATTCGCTGAATAAAATCTTTTAATTAAATTCCAACATTTTCTTAAACGTACTTGTTACATTCGAACCTTACAAAAATGCAAAATCTCGTTAAGAACCATTCGTTGAACATTTAACGAAAAACATTAACAACTTTTGGGGGGCAGAAGGAGGGGGGAAGCAAGCCGATAACGTAATGACAAGTTGGTATAGGCCTTTAAACACGTTTATTTAATAAGATTTCGTGAAGTAAAATTGCATACATTAAAAAAAAAACCGAAATGAAAGGGCAATGAAGTTTCACCGTCCTTCTTTTTTAAGCGTCGTAAGTACGTCCGGTCTTAAAAAACGTTTCGCGCCAGAAAATTCTCAAATTGTATCGAACGCAATTCGCGAGAGTTTATCGTTTCCTTCGATCGTTAATTTAACGTTCTCGTAATATTTTCATATAAATCTCATTATCATAAAATTCTTTCTCATTCTCTTTATTTCTTTCCTTCTCTTTTTGTGTTACAATTTAAGTAAAAGTTTCATTATATATATTTAGTTTCATGCATATCGAATAAACGCTAACGCGATCTCTCAATCGATTTATTTAATTATCGTCTATACAATATATAGTCTTGAAGATAATCGATTTATCGCGTGACTCGATTAAAAAAAATAAAGTCTGTATTTTAAAACACGAGTAATTTTTAAACTACGAGAAGAAAATCAGTTTGCTCGACGAAGCGTACAAATTTGTTAACGAGATATTCTTAAAATTAACTCTTTTTTTTCTTCTTTATCCAATCTCTCGATAAAAATATCGAACTCGTTTTTAAATTTGCTCTTTCGAGTTTTCAAATTACAAAAAAAAAAAAAAATAGAATAAACTTTCGAACAAGTTAAAGGGTATTATTGTTTTTGTACGTTTGTTTTTATGATACTTTTGTTAGAAAAATTTCAAAAGAATTTTTTACTCTCTCGATGAATTTTGTTCTAAAAATTGCTTTTTATTATTTTTTTTATTTTTTTTTTTTTTCGAGTAAAAGAAGGAAAACTGGAAAAAATGTAATCGAGCATGGCAATGTTACGAGCAACGGGACGAATGATTAATTGCAAAATAATTAGACTCAACTTCATCTCAATTTATAATCGATTAAGAAAAACGAACATTTGTACTTCTCGTGTTAGACAATTAATATTTTTTTTTCTCGACCAATTTTCAATCAAAGTTCATCAATTGGATTGAACTTCGATTAGACGTGAAACCGTTCGAATTAATGGAAGAAAAATAAAGGGTACAAAAGGAAAAAGAGGATAGAAAATGATTGGATGGAAAAATAAAGAAGAATTTGATTTTCTTAAGAGAAACAAAAAGAAAGAACAAAATAAAACCGCACGAGATTTAACGATTCAATCTCTTTTCGCTCCGCTTATCATGAGAAAAACATAAACCCACTACTCCTGTTGCATAAATAATTGACATTAAATTTTCATTTCAATTTCCACGATTATATTTAAAAGGAAACAGAAGAAAAAGAAACAAAAAGAAAACCCAAGAAATAAATCAAACGAACAGAAAAAACTCATGAAGAATAATTTTGATATTTCCTTTGCGAGCATTGATGTTTCCGTGTTAACCGATTCTAATAATCGATCGTCGAAGGAATATAATTGATCTGAGTTTACGTAAAAGGACATTGAATTAAATATTATTATTCAAAAGACTTTCAAATTATCGAATTGTCGTTATTTCCAAATTGATCTTAGTAACTACTCCTTAAAAAAAAAAAGAAAAAAAAAAAGAAAATGATTAAAATATATAGACCACATTGAAACGGAAGTAGTATACTTTTTTCTTTTAAATTATGATTTTCGACTTATAAAATTGAGGATGGTAGAGTAATAGCAAATAAAATGAAAAATTTCTAGATAAAATATAAATTTTTATTATTGCATACCTCTGACAGGGCGTCCTCCGTCATATCGCTGGTATCTCGCATGACTTCCAATGGAAACTGGCCAACGACGATCACACAATCACTCACCGCCCACGAACGTATGTAGATTTATTCTTATTCTTTTCTTTCTCTATGTTTTTTCTCCTCTTATTTTTCTCTCTTTCACTCTTTTTCTTCTTCCCTTTTCTCTCTCTCTTTCTTCCTCTTTCTATCTCTATCGTCAAACTTTTTTTTGATTTTTTTTTGTTCCCCTTTTATTACCGATCTACCTGTGCCTTTTAATTCGAGAGACTTGTTTCAATTCTATTTCTCCTAGAATCGTATAAGTCGAAACTTAGGAAAGAAAATAACTTCAATGGTAGTAATAAATCAAAAGGAAACGGAACAGGGGAATAAAATAACACGACAAAACTCGAAAGAGAGTTTAAGACGATGACGACTACGACTACGACGATAACGACGAGAATGATGAGAACGATGACGAAAGTGGAGAACGGAATAGAAGGAAAAGAACGAATATAACTGACAAAATTTCTTCTTCTTCGTCAGCGTCACAAACGAAGACACATCGCGTCTTTCTTTTTCTCTTCACAAACACATACGTTCTTTTCCCTCTCTCTCTCTCTCTCTCTTTCTCTATCTCTCACTCTCTTTCACTCTTTCTCTCTCCCTCTTTCTCCGGTAACTCAACGTTCGGATCGATTCGTATCGCAACGTGTTAACTTCTCTCTTTCTCTTTCTCTTTCTCTCTCTCTCTCTCTCTCTGTTTCTCTTTCTCTCTCTTTCTCGATACACGTATAGACTTACACACTACAAGTTTATCTTTCTCGTTTTTTTTTTTTTTTAATAAAATATGCATATAATTATATATCTGTGTGTGTGGTACGCGTTAAGTTATATATTTGTATGTATATTTATTTATATTGTACGTAAGTATGCATATCACACACGCGAGGGGCCAGCTTCGCGAATTATACGAACACGATTACGAGAAATTCTAATCTAACCAATACGAGAGCTCCTCCGACGCGCTCTCCAGGAGAACGTCGTCTCTCTGCGAGTTACGTCTCGCTGGCGTGGCAGGAACGTCGAAAGCTACAAACGCGTACTCCCCACCACTACTATCATCAACCCCCACCATCACCGCTCCACCCCTATCTGTCTGTTTGTCTCTCTGTCTCTCTCTTTCTCTCTCTCGTCCTCCCCCCACTTACAGGTTAAACCATGTAAAACGTCGCAATCCAGAACTCTCAAACTGCTCGACGAGATTCGCTCTTGCTTGCTTATTCGTTAAAATAACAGTCCCAACTCGATCTATCGAAACGCGCGTCTTTCAAAACACTAACGAAAGTTACTTCTCCTCTTCCCACTACGTATTCTCTGTCGCCACTATCGCTATACGTACATAGGATAAAACAGGACGGTCGACCAGCCGAAAGGCAGAATAAACGAACCCATCTTTCAAATCTTATTTTTCTTTTTTTTTCCTTTTTACGTACGTAACGTCCCTTCAAATATTCCTACTACTACTTTTTGAAACATCATCAGTAATGTTAGCACCTGCCCTTTTTCTCTTCGTTTGAAACTTCGATCCTTCTTCGATCAACGACTCCTCGCGGAATTTCTCGAAAACTTTTCGCGCATCGTTCTCCCCTCCATAATAATTCGCCAATCGAGTGTAATACCGTATTCGCGGGATTTTTCAAATTGTACCAATCGTTAGCAAGAATACTGCTGGCTAATTATTCGTATAAAGGATTGAAATAATTGGTCAGATACATATAAGATGGTTAAAAACAGTTTAAAGTTTCTATACACGTAAAAATACTAAATTTATTTTATTTATCAATTTAACATAATTTATAAATATATATATTTTACATAAATATAAATATAAGTATTGATTAATTGTTCATATGTTATAAATATAGTCAAAGATATGAAAGAGTGAGAGAAAGAAAAAGAAACATCTCGTTGGTCGAGAAAAAAAAACATTTATCAAGAGAAAGAGAAAGGTAATGGAAACGAGGATCACTATACTATTTATAATTCGTGTCGCATTTCGAGGAACGAGGCTTTCGTCGAAAGAATTTACGCGTACGCATTGTTGGCGCGTTTTTACTTCTATGGACATATAATACAAGAAAAAGAAAAAGATGTGGAATGAGAAAAAATAGAAATTAAAATTAAAATAAATATATAAATAAATTTAAAAAAAAAGAATGAAAATAGAAAAAGAAGAAGTATCAAGGAACGTTTCCGCGGCACCACAAAGAGATTCACGCGTCCTGCGCGCGAGGAGGGCCAAGGAGATGCGGACGAACAGCTGCTATTTCACCTGTTCGATATATTATTTAAATGCTTCACCTGCCGCGATCTCGAGATACCGCGAGATAAGCGACCAGCATTTCCTGCTTTCTTTAAGGATGTCCCGCACGATTCTTGGCTTCTCTCCGTAAAAGAAAACGAAAGAGAGGAGAGAGAGAGAGAGAGAGAGAGAATCTCTTACGAAATTCATCTCGAGAAAGTTTTTTTTTTTAAACATTTTCTTTTTCATTCGTTTGAGATGATTTTTATTTACAGAATTTATAAAATCTAATCTTTCACGATATATATACATCATGTTCATCGTGCACGTAAAGAAAATTAACACGATTATCTGTTTCGGCTATAATGGGACTCATCTTTTGTACGTATTTTTCAAAAAGATCAATGTCATATGAACCAACCTTATGGTTTCTACCCATTTCCTTAAAAATTTTAATATTATCTCCGCCATTATAAAGAAAAGATGGAACTACGATTCTGTACCATTCGTCGTCAGCAAGATCCTCATATCTTGGTACTTCGCAAGCACGGCATCTAGACAAAAATAATATTCAAAGTTTTCGTACAAATTTGCAATATACAATTAACACGTTGACTATCACGTGGATCACCTGTAACCTGCATTTTCTACTTTCAATGAGATCATTGGGGTCATCCGTGACCGGCGTTACTATATTGTTTTGTATATTATCTTTAAATCGTGTCTTTTGAAAAACATGTAAAATTACCTTGAAAGTCAACGTGTTAATATGAGAAATAATATTTGAATATTAATGTTAATTAGATACAAGATTACCTAATTTTAACATCGACCAATCTATTGGGTGCGTTTTTTGTCATATTATAAATTACTTTGAGTCCGGACCACAACATAATTCTTTCATTTTCCAACAACTGAAAAACATATTGTAACCTATGTATACATTGTTAACAAATAATAAAATCTTTTGTATACAACAAGCAAACATTGATAAAATTACACTTAAATTTAACGGTAAATAAACTACTTATTTCTCAATAAAAATTATCTTGATAACGTTCAAACCTTAATACCTTATCTTATTGATAATACATAAATAAATAAAAAATATTACATATTTGATAGAGCTGCCAGTTATCTCGACAGTATCCCAGGTATTTTCAAAAGGTTGAACCATCATTAAATCACCGTAAGTAATATCTACAGTATAATCTGTGATAGAAGCACGAATTCCGCCTGTATTTGTGCACGATATTGCAGCATAAGTCCAATAAGTTTTATTCTCTGCCATATCTACAAACTGAAATTGAGAGAAAAAGTAAAAAGAAAAAGATTTGGTTGTTTTTTTTTATAAGAATATCAAAAACTTTTTACCGCATCGACCATAGCGTCTGTTATAAAGTTACCCAAGTTACACTGCTTCCCTTTACATTTAGAATCAAGGAAAACTTTAGTTTTGCCAACTTGTTTCCATGCCATTGCATCGACATCCTTTTGCCAAGGTACCAATGCTTTTAAGATATCTGGATCTGTTCAAAAAATGATTGATTTTTATTTATTAAACTTCCATATCTTTTTTCCTCAAACTTACCTTCTTCGATAGTATAATCCAAAAGAATTGGATTTCCTTCCCAGTCTGCAACTTCTCCTTGCTCGTCAAACCACACTGTCAAATTGCCGAGATATCTAAATACAAGAAAATAATTTATATTTCTAACTAATCAAATAATTTATATTTCATTTTAATAATACGAAAGATAACTAAATCATTATTTTAATTAGTTCGACTTTACTAAGATTAATGTAACACTATCGTAAATTAACTTCGTAATATGACACCTGTGATAAAATAGTAGCTCGATGGATGAAATTGTACAATAAAAAGATATACACAAATTATACATACTTTGTAAAAGCACCTGCTTGTACGATAAGCACCGTTCTATTAGTATTTTCTTGCTTCACTATCACAGGATAATCATCCTCAGGTAAATCAATGAATGGTGGCTTCCCTAATTTTATAATGTATTTTTACGTTAATGTAAGACTGACAACGTAAACTTCATTAATATATTTAATCAAAATCCTTTCTTTTTTTTTTTGCACAAACCAGAGTATAAAAAAGTATGCGAATGTCCTCCAACAATAACGTCGAGAAGAGGACAATTAGCAGCCATTATTCTATCTATGTTTAAACCACAATGAGTCAAAGCAATAATAATATCCACTCCTTGATTCTTAAGTTTCTGGGCTTCCTCATTAACGGAGTCTACTTCGTCCAAAAATCTCAATTTTTCTGTCCTCGATATGGTCTAATAATAAATATATATTTATCGTTTTAATATTTAAACATTTGTTTTTTTTTATTATTATTAATTGAATAATATAATGAAGAATATACCAACGTTCGTAGTTGATAAAATGACACCGATTATTCCGATCTTTTTACCTCCTCTTTCGATAATCGTACTATTTTTATAAAGACCCTGAAAACAAAAAAATAGTATATTACTCATCTAGGGAGAAAAGTATGGTATTCCGCGGGTCGGGATGTCATACTTTTCTCCCGTGGTGAGTATACATTTTTTTCTCACACCGGTATCGAAAGTTCGGTTGTAATTAAATAATTATATACTATTAATATGTTGCTGTTAGGTTAAAAGGAATTATAGTTCACATATTTTTCTACCCGGGCGGAAAGCGTCAACTTTCTCCCGCTGCAGCTGTGCAAAACGAAGTTGCCGCTTTCATACTATACTGCCCTAGGTATGTAATATACTTTTTTATTATTTGTCAATTAATAAATTTTGCGAAGATTATATAAATTTAAAAACAAACAAGGGGTC